AAAAATATAAACATAAATTCATAAAGCACACTTGTGCTTACAAGAATTTGGACAAAGATTTGTGATAAACCACCGACAATGCTAAACCAGGGACAAGTTCATGGAGGGATATAGGTAAGTGACAATTTCTGATTATTTTAGACCTTACTTTGGCTACAGGCTCCCTGTTTAGTTTTGTTATTTCCTTTCAGTATGTCCCTCAGGGACATGTTGGTAAATTTTCCAAGCATATTGCTAAAGGGAGCCAAAGGTCTTGAAAATGTACCCTCTGTTATTTTATTCTAAAGTCAGTCTCTCTGACAGTAGAAACTCATAAGTCTTCTCAAGAAACATCTTAAAAGTCGGGGGGAATTCAGTTTTCCAAAATAAAAGAATACACTTCTTGGCAAAATATGTTATGGTTATCAACATTTTAGTGTGTATTTAACAAATACACACTGGGTTTTTGATCAAATTCTGATGAATTACGGTTTCAAAAGCTTTTCAAAGTATCACAACGTGCATAAAAGAGGTGCATAAATGTTCCTTCCTTAAATTTACATCTTGGACAGTTTGGTGAGATATCTTTAGATATTTTATGCATCCTGAATGGAGTTTAATAAAGACAATAAATTAATTCAAAGTTTGCTTGTTTAATTTTGTTAGTGGTAAACGGAGAATATAAATTCTCAAAAAATGTACTGCCATGTATTTTCAGATTTTACCCACTGAAAGAAATGATGATTGACTTCCTTGTGCTAAAGATTCATAAAATCCTACAATTTTACCTTTAATTACTGTTGATGACACTATGGCATTTCCTATTTCAGATAGTTCAATCTCAAAAGATTTTTTTTTCATAAATGCAAGAACAGAATTTTGTTTTTGTAAATAAATAAGATATTAGTGTTTGGAATGTTAAGAACACTCTTAGCACAATGAATGACTTAAATTTTGTCTTTAATTTGTTTGAAACTCCTCTCATTTATATTGACAGTAGGCAGGTGTTTCTTTCAGTCAGTGTTGTGATGGAGTGGAGCACAGAGGTAGCTACATCTGCACCACAGTTCTTAGCACGGTCTGAGTGAGTCTGTTTTTGATTGGTGAAACAAGAGGGGGCTTCAAACAATAGAATGGGCTGTCAAATAGCTACAACAAAAAAAATCTGTTATATTGCTTACACAGCTACCTTCAGTGTTAAAAAAAAAGTGAAGCTGGTGCAGAGCGGCTGAAAACCACAGTTCTTCCCCTGTCCACCCGGTGCAGACACAGAGGCACTCCTTCAGGAAAGCTGAACAGAAATAAACACATTCACAGTTTGATCCTAAAACGGTTTTGGTCTTAATATCTCGTCTCTTTATCCCCACACACTGCAATAGGGGGAATTTAGAAAAATAACTTTTTAGTTTGAGTTTTTGTACACAGAGGCAATGCTGACTTAACTGACAGGTGGCCATACTCGCTATTCGCAAGGAGGCTGAAGACTCACCTCATCTTCACCACTTTGCTTCTTGTTAGGCTGAGCAAAAGTTAGAGTGAGTCAGTTTGCAAGACGTCTAAACAAACTGGTGAAAAAGGCTGGCTCTGTGGTTGGACTCAAGCTGGACTCAGTGGAGAATGTGGTGAAGAGATCTACACAGAGGATGATGAAGACTATTCTGAAGAACATGGATCACCCACTTCACAACACCTTGATGGACCAAAGGGCCAATGGTGGTGGACGGCTCCTCTCTCTTTTTCGCTGCAGGACAGAATGATTCAGAAGATCTTTTGTACCAACAGCCATCAGACTTTATAACTCTTGTGCAAATAGTAGATAACTTTTAGAGACATGTCAAGTCAGACACAGACATAGACTGTATATAGTATGGACAACTTGGTTCTGCCTCCCGCCATTATACAGATTTGACTCCAAAAAGCTCTTGGTACTTCCGCGATTTTTCTTCATTTCCTGAAACCAGAGCTGCACAGTAGCGTTGTGCGCATTAAGCGGGAGAGTTGTCGAAAGTCGCTGTGATGACGCACGGCTCAAATAGCATATCCCCCGGGTGAGCTACGCAATCCTTGAATGCCAAGAGGATGTATCAGATGTCAATCATAGAAAACATGAACCCCCTAATAACTTATAAAAATGGAGCTTGACAGAAAAAAAAAAAAAAAAGACGAGCACAAACCAGTCTTATTGTAACTACATGTCAACACTGCAAGCAGGGGGGAGAAAAATGTATGTTCTGTGTAATAAATTTCTAAAGTTTGTCCACAGCTCCATAAGGATTGCTGGCGGATGTGGGATTTATGACCTATACCGCAGCCCGTCAACAGAGGGTGCTGTTCTTGGAGTGGCTTCACCCAGCAAGGAGGCAAACGCTGTCCATTCTATATACAGTCTATGGACACAGACAATTGAATTTCCCTTCTGGGATTAATAAGGTTCTTTTTCTTTTTCTTCTTTTCTTGTATGATAACCACTATCAACAGATGCCAGAACACTTCATCAGGAACCAGCGAGTGATGTCTCTAAGATTAAGCCCATATTTAACAAACACAAATGAAAATATGACATTCCTTTTGGAAATCATGGATCCTATATCCTCTGCCCAAGGAAACTGACTAAATTTACACTGAGTGATGACACCTAGATCCCCCTCAGGACTCTTGGTATATAGAAGGAACAGGTTTGCAGGACCACAGGACTGTCTGTGTGGTAAATTAATGCCTCACACTCTCTAACAAAACACCTACAACCTGTAACACACAAGTGCCACATTCACCAGCTATCTGCCAGGACATTAAACGACTGCTTTTATCATGTCAGTCATGTCTGTTTTTGATGTAGTGCTGGCTAAAGGCCTGAAGATCATAGTCATTGATTATTAGTTTTCTGTATTTTCCCTTTCCTACAGCGATTACTTCAGATTCTTTTAATGTTTTTATGTACTTTTAGACAATGACTCCTTAACTTCTTGACAATTTTAGGCTGAGGAACTTTATTATTTCTTATTTTTATAACTGTGTTTTACTGTGCACAATATGCTAAGTGGGGTAACAGGTGCAGGAGCTAGTGGGGGCTTTAGTTGGATCCCTTGGGCTCTATTTTCGTGTCCGCTGGTGAGGCGGCGGAGGGTGGCAGACCCCGTGCAGTGGTATTTTCGGGCGGAGCCCGGCGTACAGCCAGTTTGGTATTTTCGTGGACTGAGGTGCACCGAGGTCCGCCAAGCTGGGCGTGGTGGTGAGGCAGGGGAAGGTGTCGACAGAATCAGCTGGCGCAGTGACATTTTTGTGCTCGCCGATGGCATATAAAGTGCGCTGAAAGCTCGCCGATTCAAACCTGGTCAGCTTTCAGCGCAGGCGGAGCGCAGCTGGTCTAGTGGTATTTTGGTAGACCGGCGGCATATCGGCATACGTCACCGGCAGGTTTCCGCAGTGTCAGGCACATTTATATGCAATAAATAAATAATTTATTATTAAAAATAATAAATAATAATAAATAGACACACATGATGAAGTTAACAAGATATGTAATTTGTCTCCCTCCTTTTCTTTCTTCCTCTTCCTCTTATTTCTGGCGCAGCTCGACCTGGACATGTTTCCGTGTCCTCTCCCCGTCCTGCTGCAGCTGCTGCTGCGGCGGCTGAACAGATGATTTATTGTAGTGATTAGATGAGTTATTTACTTTAAGCCTACAAATGAATATTATAATATTCAGTTTTGTGAGCCAAATTGATTTTATATGCCAACATCTATGAAAGAAAGAGCCAGGCCACGGAGCACGATGCATCATTTACGCACAGATGGTTCCAATTTTAATGCCATTTTTGGAATTTATGATGTGATCTCTGTGCACAACCCACCTTTGTCATGTGAGGTTTGAATATATGCAAATTTATGTGAGTGTCTTTATTTGTGGAAAAGGGTGTCTGTCTTACCAGTGGGTCCAACATTACACACACCAAATCCATCTGTGCTTATATAAGACAGTGTGCAGGACGCCCTCTGCAGCGCTTACAGTGACACTTGTTGAGGGGCTGCCTTCTGTCGCTATCGTGTGGCATTACTGTCTTCAGACATCTCTTGATCTCTTTGACTACTTCACAGAAATTCTAATATGCCTCGCCAGTGGCGTGGCAGACCTGACTTACGCTGGCCTGCGGCACGTCTCTGGCGAGGCACGAAAATAGAGCCCCTTGTCTGAAGACACTTCACCTTGATACTCAACATTTTCTTTTTATTTCATTTGTATTTGTTCTGCTAATGGCAATTTTTAAACATCCACAGTCTATTAGCCACGATATTTCATATCTTATTCTATTCTCATTTTAGTTTATATGGTGCCTATTTCCACTTTATTGCAGTCTTGTCTCCCCTCTGCGGCTCCTCCTCCTGGGTTTAAATACAGCTGCTGCAAACAGCTGTGTTGGTGCTGTTGCTGCTGCATCACCCATCTGTCACTGTGCTCTCTGTCACTAGCCTTGTTCTGCAATAACAGACATTTGTCACTGTCCCCTGACTCCTGCTGTCATGCCATCAGTACCAGCGACAACTACTTGGCAAGAAGCAGTGACCAATATGCACACACACACACACACACACACACACACACACACACACACACACACACACACACACACACACACACACACACACACACACACACTGTGCCAGCTCAGTGCTATAATTAATTTCGGAGCCTGTGTCCCTGATGAGCATTCCGGTGATCTTTATTGCAATGCAATGTGTCCCCTATGATGGTGCAGGTGTGTGTGTGTGTGTGTTGCTGAGGTAAGCGTAAGGTTCCATGATGGCACAAGATAAGATGTATGATTGTGACTGAACTGAGATAATAACTTCCAAACATTATGCTAACTTTAGCACCAATGGGTGCATCAACACATAACCAGAATGACCACGCTGTATTTTAACTTTATCACTTTACAATGTAAACCAAAGCTGAGCATAATAGCTCTGAGACAACTCACAAATCTGTGTTTGATGGTATAAATCACTGAAACACAAAGACAGTATTTCACGCTATTGTTTCATTTATTCATCATTCAACAATTGAAAAAGTCTTAAACATAGGTTCATGTTTTTAAAGAATCTGGATTTCTTAACATTTAAAAATATCTCACTGAAATGCTCATGATGTACAGAGTGCTGTGATATCGCCTTTAAAATGACGGTGCTCTAAGTGCTAAAAGCTGGTGAGGAATTTTATTAACTTACAAGTGACAGTACGACAAGTTATAACAATAATACTTAAAATAAAAGATTATGTTGTCCAAACATGCATAAATAACCCAATTTCACTTCATAGATAATTTCATTCTAATATACAAAAGATTAGAAATATAATTGAAAAGGTTCAATTTCTGTCACGTGCAGAGTGCACACACGCACATTGACTTCATGCTGTTGTGTCTGTATCATCAGGCTCTGATCATTGGAGTCCAACCACAGTCTTTATCCTGGTAACTATCGACTTTTTTCTGTGTGTGCATGTGCATGTGTGTGTTTCCAAGGTACTGATAGTGTGGAGCCATCATGTATAGACCCTCAGCACTGTTATCATTTCAACTGTTCAGACAGAGAGGCTTGTAGTCTTCTTTTTCAATCTTGCCTTCAGAGCTTAGAGTGGTTGGGTATTTTCAGAGCCATTTTTGTTTATATAGTCATGTTTTCAATTTCTGAAAGGTTGGCAGGTACTAGAGCAAGTGCAATGCCACTATATTACTTATTATAGATATATCAAGAAGTTGTAATTACAGATACAGTTGTGTGAAACCTTAGGGCTTTTATAAAGTGATAGCCTGTTTGAATGCTTTTACAAACCTACAGGTTATAAAAAATTGGACCTTAGACCTTTAGATACATTCGAATATTGTACCAAACAATCTCAACAAAACGGTTATGATCTGTGAACATGTTGACATTGCATGAATTCATAAACCAAGTTTATCTGGAGATTGAACTGAAAGCAGTAGCGACTCAAAGCTCCTGTGAGGAGTTTCTACCTGGTTAAGAAACAGACTGAAATAAATACTCAGGTTTCTTTTTGACCTAATACAGCAAACAAGACCATCAACATAAAGACTGACTTTGTGCACACAGTAATATTAAATGAAGTGGGGTGGGGGTGGGGGGTCAGACCAAGTGATAAACTGCATGCTGCTGTTAAAGCCTTTTTTCACCGTCCACGGCAAAGAATCTTGATGAGTGATGTGTTTGACGGCTGAAAGAGAGCAGGAAAAGATTTTTTGTCAAGAAACACGACTTACATGTGGACAAAAACAGCAAAGCCCGCTTAGTCCACAGGAGGCACAAACAGAAAGTTCCTCACAGGAACCAGTACTTCTGGGAACACTCAACTTAGCTTGGCCACCACAAAGGTCAACATGACTTCAGTAAATCAGGGGTACTCAGGCTGACCTCACAGTTGTTTTCAAGACTAAATCTCCAAACTATTTTCACCTCTTATAAATCATTAGCATGGATGTCTATAAATTCCACTACATTAATAAATTCAAAGGTTCTTATTTACACTCAAGCCATTATTTCCCTGTGTAAATGACTGTTGAATTGTCTCCCATTGTTTTAAATTTGCTTTGCTTGCAAATTTCACTTGTTTTTATAAGTCAAGCTTTCCTTAAAATGTATCGCACAGGCACACATAAATTATCTATGAGTGATTACTGAATTTTAACACTCTTTTTATATACATTCAAGCTACTATTTCCCTGTGTTCATAACTTTTAAATCATCTCCTGAAATGTGAAACACTGACACATGACTGACTAAAAGAGTGTGTATGCAAACACCCCAGTCTAGGATCTACACAGGGTAAACACAGAAAGATAGGCATGATGGCAGCTGAAAGCACCATGAAATGCAAATATGATAAATATCTGCCCTGTCATTGGATTCACTTCACAAAGGATATTGCACAAATGATATTCCAGCATAAATATGCACATACAAATTTGAAGCTCAGTTCATTTTGCTCTTGTTATGGATCTGACTGTCCAGGAATCAGTCTGCACCTTCATACTTTTCTATGAGTGTCCCCTCTCTGCACATTCATGATGGGCAGAGAGAGGACACTGTGTAATGGCCCTAAATGCCAGAGCAGAAATCACTGACATTTTAGAAAACACCTCCAAACACAGACTAGCAGTTCACAGAACACAAAGACTGTTTAGATTTTGGGAAAAATGAAGACTGTACTTGCTGTTTAGAGCCTTCATCACTCGCTCAGGGCATCATGGCGATTCATTTTCAGACAAACTCAAAGACTAAATGTTTAAAGTTTTGAGAACTCTGAAGCTATAACAGCCCCCCTCACAGCAGCAGAATGAACAGACTGGAGCAATTCCTAATTTTCTTCCCTAAAGCTCATTTACATCTTAAAGTAGGCTGGTGTAAAAATCTGGCCAAAATCTACAAATGACAGATTGACCTCTCTAAAACTATTGAGAGCTTTGAGAGGAAATGGTGTTTCAGTGTAAAAAACCCTGAAAAACTTTAAATAATCTCCTGTTAGGAGTTTTTTCAGCTGGTTATGAAACAAAATAACATTGATAATTAAGTCTAATTATGGCCCCTAAAAGGTAAAAACTGTCAATATACAGAGTTGACACAACACCAAAGTGGTAGAAGGAGTTTTTTAAAAGCAGTATAGTCTTATTTTGAAGCCAACACTGCCTCACTGAGCTCTTGTGGTCATTTAAGGACCTGCCACAGAAAATGTAGGCTTCTCCAGAGACAGCCCCGTACAGTCTCTGAAACAAAGAAAGAAGGAGCGGCTTGTGTCCAAGAACACACATAAAATGTGTTACCACCTTTTCTGCTTTTCTGCTGGAATGTTTTTGTTTTTTAAAACGTCAGCACTTTCTGACATGTTGGAGTTTATGACATATTGTTGTCGTTTTGACTTTCAGGGCCACCTCAGAACTCATGTTTCCAGTCAAATGTTAAGGCCAGACTCCACAGATCTCTTTCTATATCTGTTCCTATCTCGAACACACAGATAAACCAACACTGTCCTGCCTAACAGCTCCAGACCATCTCCACGCATGTAAAGTGGCAGGTCCCAGCCCCAGAAAGCCCCAGACTAATCTGACCTCTGATTAAAGATATCCAAAGAATAATAAGAGACTGTGTTTAGGTAGAACTGATCCTGATCATATGATACCTGAGCATGACACCCTTCTGAATGCTGTGCAATAGTTCCTACTCACTTTTAAAAGAAAACTGTCATTTTACTCAAACTACCTGCAGCTATTGGCACTGGTGTTTGTGAATCTGAACACTTGGGACTTTGAGGCTCATTTTGCATAACAAGGGATCAGTTTAAGTTGCACAATCTTGGTGTGAATTTGAGCCAGGGTTTTATGCATCTGGCCCCAGGTCAGGTGTTTTTTGATTTTTGTGTATATAGAATAGAAAAAAGAGGAAGTAACAAATGGTTATGAAGTCTCAATAAGAAGATGAAGCCCAGTTACGGTACTGAAGAAGAGCTGTCGAATTCCACGCCTCCGTAGCCGTTCATCTTTTTCAGTTTCAGCTGGTCCACGTGGATTAGGCCCTCCGACTCTAGAACCGCCTCTTTCTTAGAGAACAAGCGGCTTATTTCCATGAAGGTCTTGTTTTTTGTCTCTGGGATGCAAAAGTAGACATAGATGGCCACAGAGAAACAGATGGCTGAAAACACCAAGTAGCAGTAAGAGCCCGCTGACATCTGTTGGTTGGATGATGCAGGTGGATGGAGGATCATGGAGAGGTTGAATAAAGAGGACAGAACAATAAGATTGATAGTTAGGGGTTGACAGTCAGCTAAAAACTCACTTCAGAGTGCAAACAGACATTACAGAGGTGACCAATGAATGGTTAATCTGAAGTGTCAGGGCAGAGGGGACTCATAACAAAAGAGCAAAGCTGATCGAAATGTTAGAAATTCATGCTGTCATTGTTAACAGAGAGCCTCTTAGGTGGACTTTTCTGAAAGCTCATAACATTATATGATAGAGACAAAATACCCAACGAGCACAGCCATAATGTTAAAGTGCCTGTACATCATAGTGTGGAATAACACTGAGCTGTTAGCTGGGAGCTGTTGGTTGCTAGCTTCAGCTGCTAGCCATTGAGTTGTCAGATGTACTCTTTAGCTTCACTTGTGGTCTGCTGCTCCCCAAGACTCTGAGGGCTCTATTTTCGTGTCTGCCAGGAACGCAGTGGAGGGTGGCGGACCCCGCGCAGTGGTATTTTCGTCTGGCGGAGCCCGGTGTACAGCCAGTTTGGTATTTTCGTGGACTGAGGCGCACCGAGGTCCGCCAAGCTGGGCGTGGTGGCGCAGCAGAGGGAGGTGTCGACAGAATCAGCTGGCGCAATGACATTTTCGTGCTCGCCGCCGGCCTGTAAAGTGCCCTGAAAGCTCGCCAATTCACACCTGGTCAGCTTTCAGTGCAGGCGGAGCGCAGCTGGTCTAGAGGTATTTTGGTGGACCAAAGTACCACTAGATCAGCTGCCCTGTCACCGATGCCCTCACCGGCAGGTTTCCATAGTGTCAGGCACATTTCAGTGCAATAAATAATCATCAACAACTAAGTATCTGAGTCAGCACATACATTTAGATCTATATCGATATATTCTGATCTATATCTGATCTGATGAGCGCGTTTGGCACGCGTTTGGACACACAACCTGACCAAATCAACACAGCTGAAACCGCAATAAATTAAATTAAATAACTAGTAAATAGACACACATAATGAAGTTAACAAGATATGTAATTCGTCTCCCTCCTTTTCTTTCTTCCTCTTCCTCTTATTTCTCACGCAGCTCGACCTGGACATGTCTCTGTGTCCTCTCCCCGTCCTGCTGCAGCTGCTTCTGCGGCAGCTGAACAGATTTGTTTCAGTTATCAGATGAGTTATTTACTTTAAGCCTACACATGAATATTATAATATTCAGTTTTGTGAGCCAAATTTATTTTATATGCCAACATCTATGAAAGAAAGAGCCAGGCCACGGAGCGCGATGCGTCATTATGCACAGATGATCTGTGCGCACAACCCACCTTCGTCATGTTCGGTTTAAATATATGCAACTTTATGTGAGTGTCTTTGTTTGTGGAAAAGTGTGTTTGTCTTACCAGTGGGTCCAACCTTACACACACCAAATCCATCTGTGCTCATATGAGAGAGTGTGAAGGACGCCCTCTGCAGCGCTTACAGTGACACTTGTTGAGGAGCTGTCTTCTGTCGCCATCGTGTGGCATTACTGTCTTCAGACATCTCTTGATCTCTTTGACTACTTCACAAAATAGTAATACGCCTCGCCGGTGGCGGATTTAAAGGCGAGGAGAGGAGCTTATGTTATTGCCTCGCTGCGTCGCTGGCAAGGCACGAAAATAGAGCCCTGACTGTGCATTCAACTGTCTTATACATTAACTGTTGAATTTTCAGTTGCTGGTCAGTGAAGTGGTTGGTAATGGTAACAGTAAATGGTACAATACTCCCTAAAAAAGATCTGGGTCTACGGGGTCATCTGGATGTCATCTCAATGCCCCTGTTTGATTCATACCAGCCGGAGGCCTTTGTTGTATGTCTGCATAAGTAGAAAGGAGGAAGAAAGCCTCACAGTTTTGTCCTTGTGTGGACATAGCTTTGCTACAGAGAAAATGGCTCCTGTTTTTTAACTGAGCTCTTAGTTCTATTGTAATCCTATCTTTCTGAGAAATAGACTTAGTCAACAATAGGAGGTCAGACATAGTCTATTGTGTTCATCTTCAACAGCAGGTTAACACAAACACAGGTGCACAAATAGCAGGCAGCAGTGCATTAGTGTAGCTATTGAGCAAACTTTGATTAAAATGGGTTATTCAAATACATACCCCCACATCAGCTAAAGATTTTAACTGTTCTATATTCAAGCCACTCACCAGATACACATTAGTTATGATTTGTTTTAATTAAGTGTCTTATGACAGTGAGCAGGAAGACATTTTTAACCACTACAGCATCAAAGGTAAGAGTTTAACAAAACACAAAATCTACATAAAGATTTCAGGTTGGGGTGTTGAGAGTGAGGGTCAGAAAAATCCAGAGGCAGATGATTTAAGAGGTTATTTTAGGTTAGGTTATTTTTATTCCTGATTTTGAGCTCATTTTAGATCGATCAGAGGTGAATGTGACAGTGACGTCAGCAAGTAGTTAAGTTTGCTTATCAGTGGGAGGCAGGTAAACATGAGGAGCCCAATGGTAATAATGACAGCATGATAATGATGATGACGATGGTGAAAAAAGCATATGAATGTTGTCTTAATAGGAGCAGCATGTTAGCATCTGTCAGTCAGCCTTTTTGACTGACTGACACTAGGAAAAGGATTTGACCAATGAAAGCTGCACACAATGCTGCCATCAGGTGGATTTGAGGCATTCACACACTCAGAAATATTTAGGCCTCATTCCATCCATTTGAATTAACTATATGTAACATAAACAGGCCAATAAAGGTTATGTGCTGATATATTTGTTGGTCAAAAGTAAATGAAACAATTAAGAATTACATTTATGTAATAATACCAATAAACCCACAAAATCAATCTGGTTGATTATAGCTCATCATATTTAAACTATATTCATACATTTTAACTGATGAAATTGAACTGTTTTCAGATGTATGCTGATGTTAAGAAATTTGAGTAAACCAATTCTAAAAAATGTAATACTTTAAATAAAATCAAATAGATGTTAATACTATGCCACGATTCATTTATCTCAGTGCATGGCTTTACTGTTGTTCAGATTGATAAAAAATAAAAAGCAGGAAACAAACAGGAAACCATAGATCTCTCTGGGATTTTTTAGGCAACAAATGTGAGAATGTTTTACTGCAAGTAGATGCCCTGCCTGAACTCAATACATGGAACCCATGAAGGAGATTTTAGACTATCACTTGATCTTTCAAGCAGATTTGCAATCATTCACAAATCACGAACAAGGGATTTGTTGGGAATTTTACAGGAACATTACAGGTCCCAAAATGTAACAGTCTCCAAATGCAGCTTTGAGAGAAGTTAGCGAACAAGAATGAGGATTAAAGCAAAACCGAGTGGGGGGTCAGTCATCAGGTTGGCTTGATCTAATCACATTTAATTTGTCTTGGTTAGGAGAAGTCTGAGCACTGTGAGGGAGAAAAGCGTGTTCAAGTGTGTGCTGAAGCCTTCATCTGCATGTGACTCTCACCTGTAGGAAGGGGAAGATAAAGCCCACAGTGAAGTTGGACAGCCAGTTAAGAGATCCTCCAACAATGTAGGCTGCTGGGCGGTGGGATTGTTTAAACAGCTCTGCTGTGATCAGGAAGGGGACTCCAGCTAGAACAGGATAGAGAAAAAAAGAGACTCAAATCCAACAGTAAAAAATCCACACACTCAGGCTCACCTGCATCTGTCTACAACTGGAATGACTGATGACCTTTCAAAGGCAGGATAACAACACCGGGCTAAGAATGCTTTAGATTTTTTTTTTTTTTGTAAGTGAAGTGTTGTTAACCAGGATAAACAAACTGGTCTGAATATGATCTGAATATTTCCACTGTCTGCTGCTCCCTCAAAATAAATTGATCCATTGTATTGTGGAACACAAATCAATTATCATTGTAAGCAACTCTAGACTTGTCAAATTCACTGGTTTTTGTTTCAGATGAACATCATTTCTCTTGGAGTCATGCAAAGAAAGAGAAAAACTGCTAAAAAATGAAAGTAAAGGCCAGCCTGCAGTATATTTATGTATGGAAACTATCATACATCTTTGTGAGTCCATAACTATGTCCTGTAATAAAATAGTACACCAAGAGGCTCATTAGTGCTTAAATGGAGATCAGCTGATTGGTAGAGGGCCAGCGTGTAGGCAGAGAGACGTATATCATAGAGTGCATGGTCCTTATATTTCCCTTTACTATTCTATCATTACAGCTGCATTATTTGTCTCTTTACCAAGCAAACATTAAACATAATTCTTTGTTACACACATTACTGTATATGAAAAAGGCAAATCTATACTAGTGTCAGAAGATTTGGAGAACTTTAGGGGAATATCACCATTATGAAAACTTATGTATGCGACAACTTTGCCTACCATCAGTCCTTGGTATTATTTATCAAACATCACACAAAAGATTTAACAATGGAAACTGTGATATGATCTCATAGTCACAATGCCTTTTGACTCTTCAAACCTGAGAAAGGACCACCACTGTGTTTTAAAGGACAACCTCCAGAGGGAGCTATTTCATAACACAAAGCACCCTGACAAAGTAACCCAGTTTGAAGTCCTTTTAATGTCTGGAAAAGGTGTAAGTCAAAATGTATTTTGGAATAAGATGCTTATATTAGTAGAATCACAATGACATAAATAAATAAATATGTATATATTTTTCTCTTATGAGAAGTGGTCACCATTCAGGCTCACTGAATTGCAGAGTTAGTGTCTCATACTCTGACTATGACACAGGAATAGTGCAGAGCAACAAAAGTGATTTCACTGACTCATGTTTAAGGGAGAATAAGGTCTTCTTACCAGGTCTTACTGAGTAAGAAAACATTTGTAAAAGTATATTATCATGGTCATTTACAGTGTTATCACTATCTTTAGTGTGGATAATGGGAACAGACACCTACCTGGACCAACACAGAAGCCAGCAATGATGCCAATCACACAGCCAACACTGACATAGTGCATAAATGGTAAGTGACCCTGCAGGGAGAAAAACAGCAAAACATTTGAAAGTATGGATTTGGTGGGGGAAACATCTCTCCAACCTTTTCCAAACTCCTTTGCAACTCAGCTGGGCACCAAAAACATCTTGTCTGTAATTTATTGCTTCACAGAGCACAGGGAGTATCACCATTCTGCAGTTTGACCATGAGACAGACAGTGGTTCATCCTCACCTTGAGATAGTTAACTATTCAGACAACGACAAACGTCATCAGTGTAGTTGGAGCTGGAAACATGATGCTACCTGGAGAGCACTGACCAGGATTTCATCCTTCAAATAAGGTTGAACTCAGAGTGAAATCACTTTAAAGGCTCAGACCTCATTTTTAACTACAGGCAGTATACAAACCCCACAGTTTTTTTGTAGCAAACTGCAGATAAGTTAAGTGAAAATCAAAAAGTATTTAACATAGGATCCAATCTGGTCTCACTAGCTCATTGGATATAGCCTCAAGTGGTCACTCGAGGAACTACAGGTTATTAACTTTTTTTTTTTTAATATAGGGAGGACATGCAGCACATGTTTGGAGCCGGACTCGAACCCACGACTGCAGCGGGGACCACAAACCTTAACTTTTTAGCACTGGCTTTATTTTCCAACACTGGAGTTTCCAAGACCAGTTGCTGGATTCAGAAAAGCGATGACCTCACTTGTACTAACATTGAGCTGGTACAGATGTATACAGAATGACACTTAAAACTGTAAATATGCCCAAATGTCAGTTGAATCTTCTGATGAAAACGGTTTCCTAAAACTGGGTTTGAATATACATGTTAAGGTAATGGAAAACCTTTGGACCTTTGAACCAGTTTTGGCTGTGATTTTAGCTGTTGTCTTTTCAATGATCATCAGTGGTCACCTTTTCAAAAGTACTCTTTTCAATTATAGTCTCCTCAGTGGTTGTCCTAAAACATTTCTGTACAGTAAAATTCTTGTAGGGTATAGTCAAATATTTAACCACTGTTTTCCATAAATAAAATATTTACCTGCATATATACTCAGACATACAGGAACTGACCTGTAAAATCAGGGTTAAAGTGATTCCAGCACTGCAGATGCCCATCATGGTGAAACCAAAGATCATGAGGGGCCTCCTTCCCAGCCTCTCTATGGTGAAACACTGCAGGAGGAAACACAGAGAGTGTCAGATGTTGCTGAATGAACACAAACCAGAACAAAAAAGATCCCCCTCTTTGTGAGCTCTAGTCATAAAACCAAACAGATTTGCTTTTTTTCTCAAAGTGAGACCAGAAAACTGATCTTCCTTACATCAGAGACTTGAGAAAAGACCTGGGGCTCTATTTTCGTGTCCGCCGGTGAGGCGGCAGAGGGTGGCGGACCCTGCACAGTGGTATTTTCATCTGGCAGAGCCCGGCGAACAGCCAGTTTGGTATTTTCGTGAACTGAAGCGCACCGAGGTCCGCCAAGCTGGACATGGCAGAGGGAGGTGTCGACAGAATCAGCTGCCGCAGTGACATTTTCGTGCTTTCCGCCTGTGGGGTATAAAGTGCGCTGAAAGCTGGCCGATTCAAACCTGGTCAGCTTTCAGCACAGGCAGAGCGCAGCTGATCTAGTGGTATTTTGGTAGACCAGCGGCGTATCGGCATATGTCACTGATGCCTCACCGGCAGGTTTCCACAGTGTCGTCAGCAACTAATATTCTGAGTCAGCACATACATTTAGATCTATATAGATATATTCTGATCTATATCTGATCTGATGAGCGCGTTTGGCACGTTTGGACACACAACCTGACCAAATCAACACAGCTGAAACCACATCAAATTAAATTAAATATCTAGTAAAAAGACACACATAATGAAGTTAACAGGATATGTAATTCGTCTCCCTCCTTTTCTTTCTTCCTCTTCCTCTTACTTCTCGCGCAGCTCGACCTGGACATGTCTCCATGTCCTCTCCCCGTCTTGCTGCAGCGGCTGAACAGATGATTTGTTTCAGTGCTCAGATGAGTTATTTACTTTAAGCCTACATACGAATATTATAATATTCAGTTTTGTGAGCCAAATTTATTTTATATGCCTACATCTATGAAAGAAAGAGCCAGGCCACGGAGCACGATGCATCATTTACGCACAGATGGTTCTGACTTTAATGCCATTTTTGGAGTTTATGATGTGATCTCTGTGCTCAACTCACCTTTGTCACGTGAGGTTTGAATATGTGCAACTTTATGGGGAGTGTCTTTATTTGTGAAAAGGGTGTTTGTATTACTAGTGGGTCCAACATTACACACACCAAATCCATCTGTGCTCATATGAGAAAGTGTGAAGGACGCCCTCTGCAGCGTTTACAGCGACACTTGTTGAGGGGCTGCCTTCTGTCGCCATCATGTGGCATTACTGTCTTCAGACATCTCTTGATCTCTTTGACTACTTCACGAAAATAGTAATACGCCTCGCCGGTGGCAGATTTAAAGGCGAGGAGAGGAGCTGATGTTATTGGTCAATACAGGTCTCGGCTGTGTTAAACCCACTCCACACCCTCTCTCCTCCCTCGCTACGACTTACGCCGCAGGGAGGAGCTGAGTTAGGGAGGGGGGATACTTACGCCGGGCTATGCCGCTCACCAAAATACCAAATAGTGCTTGGGAACGCTTTGTCGGGGCGGCGGACCTGACTTACATCGTGCCTGCGGCACGTCTCCGGCGAGGCACGAAAATATAGCCCCTGGAGTCAAGAAGTTATTTGTTTAGTTTAGTTTAGCATTAAGACTGGAAGCAAAGGTCAACCGCTCACCAGCTCTGAATGTCCCATGTGTCAGAATCAGTGACAGTTTACACTTTTTTTTATTCATGAATGTTTTAGCTCCAGAATTTTTAAATGCTACTTAACTACATTTTTTCAGTTTTTTATGTATGTTCATGTATACACCAAAATTAAGATAAATATGTTCATCAGGGAGCTTTCGAGGTGTCTGTCACTCACTCTTCTCATTTTTTGACAAATCAATAATTCTTAAAAGATCTTAAAAAATTAAGTTCAAACAAAACAAAGACACTATACAGCCTCAGTATGACAGCACCTGTGGCAAGTGAATGCTTACCCCTATGAGTCCAGCGATAATCTCTATGATTCCTGTTCCAGCTGTTGTATACTGAATCTCTGCCTCTGGGATACCAGCATCCTCGAAGATGTCATTGGTATAAAACCAGATCTGCAGAGGAAGAAAAAACTTGAAGATCAGAGATTGATTTGATTCCCTTCAAATGTAGTGATAGTCTCAGTCTTACAGAGGCAACATGCAGAGGGAATGTGAATACAGACACTGCAGTAAACCCACATCCTGTAGAGGCTACATATTAGAAACTACTGCTGTAGCTCAGTAAAGTTTAATTAATGTCTTCTTCTTCAGTCATGTGTTAAGAGCAAAATGGTGCACAATTATATTTATCATCTTTATCTTTATTAAACTTCAAGCCAACATTTGTTATTTTGCAAAAGACCTGATGCTATTTACACAGAATTGACCACCAAGAATTAAAGGGCAATCAATCAATCAATCAACTTTATTTCTATAGCACATTTAAAAGAACCACAAGGGTAGCCAAAGTGCTGTACAGTGACACATAAAAACAAATAAAACAATCAAAGAACAAGATAAAGCAAGCAGAAATACAGTAATGCAAAAGAATAAATAAGTGTATAAATAAGGAGGCTCACGGCAAGTTCTAAGATGATAAAAAACAAATTAACACTACAATGTACTAAAAGCCAATGAGTAAAAGTGCGTTTTTAAAAGGGATTTAAAAACAGGAAATGAGGAGGCCTGTCTAATTTTCAAGGGCAACTCATTCCAGAGCTTAGGGGCAGCAGCGGCAAATGCTCTGTCCCCTCTGAGCTTCAGCCTTGTACTGGGGACGGTCAGTAAAAGCTGATCAGCTGATCTTAGGGGTCGGGGTGGGCAATAAGGCTGGAGCATCTGCGAAATATAGGGTGGAGCAAGGTTGTTCAGGCCCTTAAAAACAAATACTAAAAGCTTAAAATGAATTCTGTACTGAACAGGGAGCCAGTGTAAGTGCAAGTACGAATTGAAACTGATCTGACTGTAATGCAGCACTGATGCTGCAAGTACGACCAAAACATTTTCTTTCTATGTGTTGGTGCAAAGTTAAAGTGTCAAAGAAAATAAGATAAATTTGTTAGTGTGATTTAAGGTCTTCACAGTTTTCTTTGTCACATGACTAAAAAGTATGAATTCACATTATAACTGCCTGGGTAAATATGTTCTTCATCCTCATCACTGTGTATCACCATAGATCATGTGTACTGCTTTACTTTCAACTGTTCTGTTTTATTTTCAAACCTATCAATGCCTTCCTCTTGTACTACAGCTTTCACAAACATAACCACTATCAATTTTAGCCTTCATCTCCTCATCCTCACCCGTCCTCTCAGCATGTGCCTACTTCAGCACTGCAGAGCTAATTATCAGCTCAAAATACAGCCTGGAGATTGGCATGCTAATAAGTTCAGCACCAGTGCTTACAGTGTGCACTTTCCAGCCCGGGCATCCAGGTAATCATTTGAATAATTAATGAATCTCAAAGGCTGGATTCAGAGGGGGAATTGGGCTAACAGTATTGGCAGAAAAATGATTACTTCAGCTTTTGGCTTCATTCAAAAGACAACATGAGGCTCATAAAACGATGAAGGATTGTTTGGGCCTATTTCCATCTCAGTGTCTGCCTAATAAGCTACACCATTCAGATAAGAGCTGTAGGAACAGAGGTGAGTGCTCAAGGAGGCCAAAGTGAAGAAGCAAGAGAAAACAGTTGAAAATTAAATGCTAGTGAGACATTAAATGCAAGAAAAAAAAATACTGAACCACCTGTAGAGATCAGAGCTTCATGTAGGTTTACTGAAAATGGCAAACACATGCAAATATGTCTCACATCAGCATGACACCTTTGACCTCTGTTTTTTCTGCCATGTAAAAAAGTAACCATGACTGGTTGGCACCAGATTAAAAATGCACATATGAAAGGGTTTCCTAATCTCCCGATGTTACCCAGTCCTCAGGACAATCTTCATTGGTGGAAGACAGATGGGTTAAGGAGTGAGATTCCTGTGGGCTTAATGGCCAAGCCACAAAAAAAAAGGAAAATGTCAACACAGTCAGTGAGACAAGGAGAGCTCTTCACCTGTGTTACTACAGATATCCCACAAAGTACATCCTAAAACCATCCAGTCCAGAGAGGAGCCAGGAGTGACAGTATCTCTTTAATGCTGAGCGGCCAGGAAGAACACACAGTGGCACTACTGACATAGAATCAACTTGTACAATAAGGTGGGGTATGTGTTTGTGAAATGAAGAACCAAGCCAACCCAGCCTGGACAAGAGGTATGATGTTGAATGTCTCCCTTTGGTCAGTGGTTTGGTGTATACCAGCCAAATCAAGAAAAAGCCCCTGAACCTTTCATTTATGGTGTCATATCTGAAAGGTTGACAGTGTGACTCTGGGCCAGGGTATTAAAATTATATCTTTTGTACTCTGATACAAGGGATCCTTTGTGGAAGAGATGTCTGATGTGCCAGCAAAGGCTAGGCACTTCTCAGACTCAACGCCTGTCCTGTTGTTGCTACCTTTAAGGTATCATTCTGTCCAAAGTGTTTTACTGCTTCCTCCTTTATCTCACAGAGCTTTTATCTAGTACTCACACCACTACCAAAATCCTAGGTCTCCAATCAGTCAACCTCTCAGTCATCAAAGAGGCAATGATACACATCAAGGAACATGACATCCACTTAACCCAACTAGGGCTGCAGCTATCGATTATTTTAGTAATCGAGTACATGAGGCTCACAAAACTGAAATAGGCCAGGTCTTTCAAATGAATATTTTTACTGCATAAATCAGGAACCAAAAGTTTTACATTTTACCATGTAGTTCACATGAAACTACTGAAGGCAAGGTCTGCAGATGGTCTTTTAATTGCTATGGTAATGATCTTTGCAGTTTTCACTAAACCAGTCACAACTATTTCCAGGCTTTGGATCTAATTTTACTTGTTTAATTAATAGGCTGAAATAATATAATTCTTGGATACTAACATAATTTGACAAGCAAATGTACATTTATTCAATATATAAAAGTGTTACATTTTTATTTACATGTTGTTGTGTGTTGGTCATTTTGCAGCCCTCTGCTGCTCATCACACGCCTAGCAGGTGGTGTATAGCATTATCACCATGGATACACGGATGTTTGTGTGATTTTTTTCATCCACTGCCGCCCGGTTTGTGTCGCGTAGATGTTGATTATGAAAACACTTCGCAATAATTTGGAAACGTGAAGGGGGAGCTGCTGCTGCCCGGTGTTTACGGTAAATAGACGCAAACACCGACCAAGTGGACGCTTCGGTCTCCGAAAACGCCGAGACAAATTTACAAACAGCCACTATTTCAAACAACTGGGCTCATAATCGTGATGTAAACACTTACTTTCTCGCTAGAAAAAATATTATTATTGAATGAATTTATATAATTTGTCCGGTATGCAGTCGTTCTATGTAGCTTGTGGTAGGACTATTTAAATTTTCCCGGCGCTGCGTCCGGCCGGCACGAAATGCATTCTGGGGTATTTAGTATGTATGTGTGTAAACGCTCGGGCAGCCGCGGCATACTCAAATCATCTTTGAGTAGTCAGTAGGCAGTAGCTACTGCTTGAGTAGGTAAGTAGATAGCAGGCAGTATGCCATTTCGGACACAGCTTCTGTCTGTCCTCGCTTCCCTCCATGATTGAACCAAACGCGCGGCAGCGGAAGGAGCGGAAAGAGCACGCTTCTGCGCAACAGAAATAACCGTCCGTGTCAAACACCGTGCGCTGCACATGGTTCCGGATTTAAACGATTCCTCGAGGCATATAATTTGCCTCGAGGAATTTTATTAATCGAGTTACTCGAGTTACTCGAGTAATCGTTTCAGCCCTAAACCCAACCTATCGCCCTTCACACACTGAGGGTCTTATTTTATGATCTACAGTGCACACTCTTAAAACAAATGGTGCAAAATAAAACTGGACATGTCAGGCTACGTGCTGCTGAAGTGGAGGAACAGGGAGGGAACAGGTTAGATTCAGTCGAATGAATTATTCATAAGTGTGTTGTCAGTTTTTCAGGGATCACTCTGACCCACTCTGATGAAAATCATGTTTTTCTTGTTGTCTCCATGTTCATATGGCATTTTTCTGGTGTTACAGGACATATCATGAGAAAAGTAAGAGTGAAACTGCATATCTGAGTATTTCTGCATTCAAATCGCTGTGAAACTCTGGCAGACCCAAATGACAGGTTCAGATACAGTGAGATTTCCTACATCACAAATCCAAGCTCCGCCCCCGGAGCCCTGCTCTGCAGGCCAGACTCGGAAAAGTAGAGAGGACAATCGCAGAACAATTAACTTGATATTAACTTTCATCATGTCCCCAAAGACATTAGTGTCTGAGAGCTGAATATCTCCTATGTTACCTGCTTCCTCTACCACACCGGCAATGTTAGGCTGCAAGCTAGTGTGAAGAGAAGTGTGCAGAGCAGTGCTGTCTCCGCCCACGACTCAGAGGTGAATTGCTGATGAGCTACTGGAGCTCTGCAGAAGAAAAGCCCTTGAAACTGGAGAAATTGGAAACTTGAAATTGGAGTGGGACTTTAAAAGACACAGCTTTGTCTCAGTTTGCACCAATATAACATCACTAATCTTTCCTGATCCATGTGTGCTTTGACATTTATAGGGGATGGGGAATCCCTCTCTGGGTGAGCATCCTAAATTGTAATAAATTTGATCATGTTTGGACTCCAAATTGAACATCAGTGATTGTTTACAAAAATGCTGACCCCTCCCCCTCTGTTTATACATTACTCAGTTTTCCAAGAGTCCTTACAGCATCAATGCCAGACAGCTGCATGCCGATGTTGATGACCACCACACAGAGCACCTGCTTCCGGACTCGCTCATCCGCCAACAGAGTCCAGACTGGCAGTGTTTCCACTGATGACAGAGAGCGCTGCTCTTCCTGCATCTCCTCGATCTCAGCCTGGATATTACACTTAGCTCTGTAGTACTTCAGAGCTGAGGGACAGAGCACAAGAAATTGAGTGATTATTATCAGACAGCATAGAAAGATTCTGAAATGCAGTCCAGTACACCTACACTGACTGTATCTAACCACAGCTACAAACAAAACAACAATTACGTGGATATAAAAACTGTCGCTTGCAAGTTGTTTTCCCCCCTGAGATAGCTGCAGTCAGTCAGTCAGTCAGTCAGTCAGTCAGTCAGTCAACCTACCTAGATTATTTGGAACTTAATCTGAGATGTGTCAAAAGGTTCCAGATTTTTCTCCAGAGTGGTGTTTTTTTTTGCTGGCAACTCGAATCAATGATAAGACAAACAGTTGTATTTTTTGTTCATTTACAATACTGCCTGTTTTGGGTGAGGTAATGCAGAAGTTCTTCAACAACACTATAAAGAAATCAAAGAAAGAAGGACTAAAGGTTTATTACAGCTGTAAAACACAGAAAGGTGTTTCCTCATGGGGCTACTCATTACTCCAGTATTACTTGATTTATTTATAACCCAGTGTGTCCTTTCTCCTGAATAGCTTCTGCATGTTGATGGACAGCACACAGTCCTAACACTGACCTGTGATGGTGGCATGGACGTTGTGCTTGTCTATCAGCAGGTATCTGGGGCTCTCTGGAAACCATGGCAACACTAGCAACTGGATGAAGGTGGGTATCACTATCACTGAGAGAAAGAAGGGCCAGTGTTCCTCCTGCAACAGGGAAACCACATAGGTACTCACTCACTTCTGTGTACTTATTAGCCTTTATATACTACAGCAATGGTTCAGTGACTCTAATATCAGAGTTTTATTAAAATACAGGTGATTATGCAGATGTTGAAGATTGGTATAGTTGATAATACATAAAGACTACAGCTACAGAACACACTCACTTACTAATGAGAAGTAGATATCACATTTTTAAGATGAAATGAAGGCCAAGGTAAACTTTAATTAGCTCAAAATTAGATTTTTGAGGCTTAAAGATTTGTAATGATTATGCACATTAGTCACCACCAACATTTGGCCATGAACTCCTCAAAACTCCTAATCAGTTACAAGCTTCTTTTCTCCTGCAGTTATGGTTGTTGGAGTGAAAAACATTTGGCATACATAATGATGAAAACCTTTGAGTCTGTGGTTTATGGATGAAGTCAGGGAGCAATGGTCATTACCTTTCCGAGAAGCTCATGTAGGCCAAGGATTTGAGCGAGGAAGACACCAGTGCCGATAAAGATACTTGGCACCAGACCCAGAAAGCCCCGTAGGTTCTTTGGCGCTATCTCACCCAGGTACATTGGTACTACACTTAGAGAGATGCCTGCAGTAAACAGAGAGAGATATAAAAATGTGCTACTTTGATAAGGTTCCCAGTAATGATTTTATAGTACCTTGATCTAACAAAAAAGAAAATACATCAAATATCGGAGCAAACTGAACCAATGTGAGGACCCTACAAGAACAAAGTATGTGGACAGTTGAAAAGAGAAAAAAAAGAAAACTAGTTTGTTGAATGCAGTTTTACAAAATCAAATGGGCTGAGGTGTAATTCTGAACTGTAACTGGTGATGATGAGGCACACAGCAGGACAGGAGATTTCAAACATTTTCACGTATTAAGCTGAAGATCTTCATTTGAAACTGAAAGACACTGTTCATATATATTCAAGATACCATTCAAAAGTCAGAGTCACACCCACACTATGCACTTCAAGCCATGCCTGAGCATGTTTCAACCCCTCAAGTCTTTTTTTTTTTTTTTTACTAACATGAGTGCTCAATGTCATGGCACTGGAACAAGTGGGCTTTGGCCAGACATCCTATGATGATGTTACTCTTCCTATAGCTGCCTTGCATAACTGATATAAATAAGAAGTAATATCCAATGTGGTCCAAAAACAAGGTATTTTCCCCCGTAATAACACATGAAAAGACTGGATGAGTGTCACTGAAAGTCAGGAGGAATGGGGGAGGGCTCTGCAGCTTGTGCTGACTTTGTTGGATGAAATAAACATTAAACAACAATGAAGTTTTATTCTCCACTGACAGGAAATCATACAGTATAATTAAATTGTGCATTTTAACAACAAATGAAACACACTGAGAAATTATAATATCAACAAAGATCTTTCTCTCTCACTCTAAGCGCAGAAGATTGGCACTGACACACTGTCTTTCAGTGCACAATCCAATTAATAAGTCGATCAATTCATTTAAGCATTGAAAATTTGATTTGTTGGATCATGACATCATGGATCACAGACATGTCATGTGATGAGTTTGTGGAAGAGGTCGGGCTGGGTGTGGAGCAATGTGAGTGCAGGCCAGTGGGGAACTGGGGAGGGGAAACAAATATGTTTTGGCACAGTGTGGGGCAACAGCATGAGTACACCCTCAAAAGTGTGGTCATGAGTTTTTATCAGACCACCTGACCTGAGAGACTGACTGAATGTGTTTCATAACTGATGATTCATTTAAGCTGTATATTCATAAAAGAGACAAACTAAATTCTTGAGTGTGAGGGTCTGATATTTCTGTTGGCATGGCTGTTCATTTAACTCAGGTCTTTTGAAGGCATTCACTCTGAACATGGAGGACAGCATGCATCTAATAGTGTCTGATAATGTTAAAAATGATTTAAAAAAGTATACATTAGTCTGAACATTAGTTAGACTCTACCTTTTGTCAACCTGCACACAAATACTAGATGATGTTGTTACAGCTTCAGCTCTCTCCTCTCATCTCTAGACACCTTTTGCTCTCTATTTGCCTCACTTCATGATGACCACCATTACAATCCTTTTTCTAATTATCTGATAACTCACTCCAGCACTGCCCAAAGTTCAAAGCCATTTCCCAGGGTTTTCCTGGGCTCCCAGCTGGTGTTGTATCATAAGAGTATTTTCTTATTCAGCAACTTCATCTTTAACAATAACTTCTATGGTCTTGCTCACATACGGTGTGACAGTGGGGTCAGTGTCAGTGACCTGTAAAGTCCAGTCTGGTTCTCTTTAAGCAGACTAGGAACATACCTAGGAGCATACCTTTTTGGAGGTAGATTTGTACAAAAGCATCATGTTTAGACAGAAGAGCACCTGCTTTTCACTGGAACAGCTTTGTAGGTACATGTAAAAGATCACTGCACATGCCTTATCATGCACAATGGTAATAGTCTCTAATGTTGCAAAGGAGGGTGCTCATGTATACGTTACTTTACCTGAGTGTATTCCTGTGATGAAGCGGCCAATGATGACCATCTCAGGCGAACCACAAATCCTGCTGAAGCCCATGAGTATGCCACCAACAAACACTAGCACTGTTGTTTTCACAACTGTGCCTTTCCTAAAAGTACACAGATATGCAGAGAGCAGACAGTTAGGCAGACATGTGGGGACAGCAGCAGCTTAGTCTGTAGGTATATGACTGACAACTGGAAGTTTACAAAACAGTAGAAAATCAGCACAAAAGTCTCCTTTAACAGGCTAGCATACAGGCTGGTTACTATGTGTTTTCCATGAGAAAACTATTTTTTTCAGGGCCACATCAATATGTTTTTTTGCTCTGTTTGGGCTTTGAATTATTTGTATATAGCTTGTGAAAATTAAATATGTCAGTTTATTAAGTCTTTATTAAGTTCTCTTGTAGTGAAGGAATGCTTTACTTGAGCTTTTCTTATTGTCACGATATCATTCATTAACTGATGGATTGACTTTCTTGGCTGTTTAAATCTAAAACATGCACCACTGATTACTTCAAAGAATGGCTTTTGCCTTATTTGTTTGCCTTACAGCTATTTCAGTGACTTTTAGTAAATATACTGGAGTTCATTTTGTTTAAGAGATCTCTAACAGACAGATTTGGCCTTTTTCTTTTATTCATTGCAGATTGCTTCAAAAATACATCTTTCTTTTCTTTAATCTTTTCTGTAAAAAAAAAAAAAAGAGAAACAATAGTGTTTTACATCTTTCCAGTCTGTATGGCAGAGTGTAGTATAAGGAAGATTAAAATCATGTTTGTCCTTGTTCTGTAGAAAAAAGGTCCAATTACTGAAGGAGGTGTTTCACCCAGGGTGGCCCAGCTTGTATGCCAGTCTCTGGGGAATGATTGTACTGAATACTGAAGTGAAATCGATAAACTCCATTCTGGTGTGAATGTACTTGTCATGAATATACATAAAAGCATATGACCCAGAGGTTAATGACACAGCAAGGCCAACAACAGTATATGGACCTGATATACACACAAAGGCCTAGCAATAGACGTGTGCCTGTATAAGTCTCCATAAGCCATAAAACACCAACACAGCTCACAAGGTGGGTCATGAGCTATGATCAGTCATAAAACAGCACTGTGTGAAAAATCTAATCAGCCAGTATAGAGGATTATGAATTGCAAGCTTGTCATTTGCATTTAATCGCCACTGAAGTTCTGTGAAATGTTGGGGTATAAGAGCGATCAGCTGATTTGTACTTGATGGAAAAAGAACTTTATACTGAACAGTTTACTTCTGGAGGGCAACAAGGACAAATAGGCAAAGGTGCCTTCTGAAGGACAGCGAATACCAAAGGGGGGCTTGAGGGTTGGCGGTCTTATGTTGGGGAAGTCATGATTTATACTAGACCCCGATCTGGTGCCTTTGGTTGCCAGTGTAAGTGTATCTGGTGTGTATTTGTGTATGAGTGTGCCTTAACTGCCTTTCTACCTGATATTCACTTCTTTATCTTTTAATGGACCACAAATCAGACCATGTACTTCAAATAACTACAGAGCCGGACAGAGTATTGTTTCTTGTGATGATCATTTCGTCAAGTGTGTTCAATTGTTAATATTGGAGGCAGCACCAGATGCTCCTGAGTGTCTCTCAGGCTGGCAGTGCCAACTGGACCCTTTCCACTGTTGTGGTCGAAGGTCCAGAGGGGTTACAAAGGTGTCAGGACAGAGCAGAGCCAGCTTTCAAATACAGCTGCTCTGAGGGCTGCTGAGGACATATTGTCCCTCTTGATGCCAAACTGGATAAACTTGTTCTACAGAATAATTTATATCTATTATTGTGCTTTTAGGCTTGGAGACCAATCATAAGAACTGCATTAGGATCTATCTTTAAAAGAAAATATAAAAACTTAGGTCTTACCTGCCAAAACGGGTGACAAGCATGCCCACAATGAGGGATCCCAGCATGCCTCCAATGGCGAAGACAGACACAGTGAGGGAGTACATGACAGTGAGAGTCTCTTCAGTGAGTCCTGTTCCATTTCTCCTTAGCACTGTCTGGTTATAGAAATCCTTTATGTACTGAAAGAGAAGAGGACAGCAGAAGCAGGTTGTAAGCAGCATGACAGGATGCACATTTGTACGATGACTCACTTAATAAAACATAAAGCTAAATAATTACAAATTGCTGTGACTGGGATATTTTTTAAGGCAGTTATCCACCCAAATCTTGAAATGAGAGTTTTTTTTGCCATAAAGTTATGATTATGTGATCCCCCTTTGTGGAAAACAGTCCAAACCCAAAGAGTTTGTTATTGGGGCCATTACTATAAAATCACACCAGTTCCCTAAAACCAGTATCCATCATCATTATGCAATGAATAACCTGCAGAAGCACACACTTGTCTGGACCCAGTCAGCAGAGCTGGACACAGGATGCTCTGCTAGCTAAGAAAGCTAATGTAACACTTTATAGCAAATGTCATTATGTCATGAGGGGGAGTAACATAAATTCAAGTAGAAGTTATGTTATTCCCCCTCTAAGGCTCTTCACGTTTCAGGTATGCTTGCAGTGCGATGAGACAGAGTGTTGTCAGATTGGCCCCCCTTGGGAAGTACCTTGCTGTCATTACAAATTTTGCAATTTTGAGCTATATGGTTGGGGTCCCCTACTGGCATGAGGTAGTTGTCAGCTTTGCTAGATGATAAACAGTGCCTCTGGTGTCATGCATCCCTGGTTAGAATATGTCATCATGTCATGGCCACATCCGATCCTCATACCTCCTCCCTTACATTAAACTCTGTCCTTAATCCTTTGATTAGCCTAGCCAGCCCACTGTCTCTGTTTCTGCAGCCTGTCACATCATCTGTGTGTAAATTCAAACAAATAGCTTGACTTATTTGAAAGTGCTGATGTCCTTACCAAAATCAACACAAAAAAAATTGATTAACAATGGATACAAAAACAAAATACATGTGTAAGTAGCTACAGATGTTAATACAGATGTTTATCATAGGTAATCATAGAATTACACCCACTTCTGTAAAACAGCTGTTTTTTAGCTGCATATTACTTTTCATAGCTTGCAGGCTAGTTTGTAACAATTTTAAAGAGATTCAGTTTACAAAATTAGATTAGATTAGATTAGGTTAGGTTAGATTAAATGTTATTGATCATTTTTGGAAGATTCCCTCAGGGAAATTAAAATTCCAGCAACATCAGTATGTACAGAAAAAAAAACCCAGAATGATCAAATAAGTAAGAAATAAAAATGTAATATATGTAAAGAATAAAGATATAATGGAACTTATACATATAGTGTACATATAAAAAGTAAGATATAAAGCCATGGACATTTGTACATAATTATTACTTCAACTACTACTTCTAATGCTGCTGCTCCTCTACATCCTCTGTCCTCCTGTTACCCCTCCTCCTCCCCAGAGAGGAGTTGTACAGTCTGACTACATGGAGGATAAAGGAGTTTTTCAGTCTCTTGGTCCTCCACTTGGGAAGGAGCAGTCCAACACTGAACAATCTCTTCTGGTTGATGACGAAGGTGTGCAGAGGGTGACTGGCATCATCCATAATGTCCACTAGTTTGTTCATAGTCCTCTTCTCTGCCACCATCACCAGAGAGTCCAGCTTCATGCCAACCACAGAGCCCGTCTGATCAGTTTTTCCAGCCTGGATGAGTTCTTGTTGGATATGCTGCCCCTCAGACTACTGGGTGAAAAAAGGACACTGGCAACCATGTTTCTCTGCAAATGTTGAAGGACTGCAGCCTCCTCAGAACGTACAGCCTGCTCTGTCCTTTCTTGTACAGGTGGTCCATGTTACATGTCAAGTCCAGCTTGCTGTCTAATACTGTCTTTACTGGTCTAATGTTTATCTAGTTCCTGCCACAGAGCAACAACACCAATTTATTGTTGTACAAACTGCATTTTAACCAGAATTTTCTTTTGGTTCTAATAAAGACTATATTTTTAAGAGATTTTTTCATTTGGTTCCACCTTAGGGTAGAGCAGCTGCTCCTGAGGGTCTGTAGTCTGATTTGTACTGGTTTGGGGGTAATTAGCATGAAAATTTCTAGACCCATAGGAAAACATCTCCTCCTGATTAGGGAGGAAACCTTGTCTTCTGTGTCATGTGGTCAGAGGTACACTGGTTTCACGAGACCGACATCAACACACTTTTAATCGTCTTCTCTTTCCTCTGACATTTCAGCTTCCTGACTAATCTAATCCCCATATCTCTTTTTATGTCTCTCTCTCTCTCTGTCCCCCCCCCCCCCTCTTTTACCTCAGTTTCCTAATCAGCTTACCATGTGATGGCACGAGTTGTTGGACTGTGATCAAATCCCCTCACTGCAGTAGCAATACTGCCAGACAAATGTAGATAACAAAGATATGAGGGGCTGTCAGGCTGCAGTTAAAAATTATTAAGCACATCTAAGTCTTAAGAATTTTACTCTTTCAGCTCTGACTTGATGTCATAGTCATGTCCTGGGAGTCAGGACTGATATATAGTGAAGAAAGAGATAGGGAACTTGAATATATTGGCATTTAACCTCATAATAAAACAAAAAAGAATGTCAAAGCATGTCTTCTTCAAATTCATGGTTATTAAGGCTGAACTATATGTGGTTCAACCGTTACCATTACGATGTGCTGATTTTAATGTGGATTTTTTTTATGTCTTGGTTGTCCGGTTTGTCCCTTGCTGAACTGCACTGCAAAGAAAAAAAATTGAACTGAACTGAACTTAACTGAACAGAACTGAACAGAACTGGGTAATAATCACATCACAAGACATGTGAAGTCTGCTTTATGCTAAATGTATTTGGTGTAAATGCTTCTATTTTTGTATCACAATCTGAGATGCACCAACCCTAAACTCAGGATAACATCGGCACGGTACTGGCTAAAATTGCTGTATAAGCAATTCAAAAAACAAAATGTAACCTGTTTGATCCTTTAGCTCAAAGTTACTAAGCACACCACGCCTTAAGAGGCTGGCACCTCAGGACCTTGGTGAGATGCAACAAGCACTCAAAACACCAGAAAGGGCTTCTCTAAGACTGCTCAGCAGCACTGTCTAATGTCAGCCATGTGTACTCTGCTGTGTTTAAACCATAGGCTGTATATATGGACAACATTGCCCCGCATCCTGTCAGTGTGCAAATCTGAAGCTAAAAAGCTCTCTGTATTTTAAGGATTTTCCTCAGAGAGAGTCGCTGTGATGACGCCCTGCTCAATCCCCCGGGTGAGCTACGCAATCTTCTTACACCCAAAGACTGTATCAAGTGTCAATCATAGAAAACATGAACCCCCTAATAACTTCTAAAAATGGAGCAGCACAGAAAAAAGAAGACTTGAGCAAAAACCAGTCTTACAATAACTACATTTCAACATTGCAAGCAGGGGGCTTGAAAATTTTGTATTCTGTGTAATTCATTTTTTAAAGTTTGTCCACAGATCCATTAAGTTTGCTAGAAGAGACAGGGTTTATGACCTATACTGCAACCAGTCACCAGGGGTTGCTGTTTTAATGCAGAGGCTTCACCCAGCCAGGAGGCAGCTGGCATCCATTCTATATACAGTCCATGGTAAACACAGGTGTGCAAACGGTGGTTTGAATATGTGCAAAGCACATGTTCTCTGACAGTACAGGTAAAAAATATATAAACAAACCAATTCAATAAAGCATCATCACACATCGGAACAGCTACAACAGGAATACCAGCAAAGCCAAAACAGAGCTATCACTGCAGCCAGCTGTGTTGCAAGGACATGAAACACTCTTTGTGATGTTTGCAAGCATTAGTCGCCATTTTTTTAACCAAAGAAATTTAACTCCTTAGCAATCTAATGCTGAATTTGTGGTTTACAATTAAATAGTAGTCCTGTTGATACTGATGAACTCGACTTGGTAAACTCCATTGAATAATATTAGTTAGATTAAACATATTTTTAATTGACTTTTGTATTTTAAAGTATAAAGCCTGATATTCTAAGGCATAACTTTCAGTCTAATCCTGACATTGCAGAATTTATAGGATAAGGACAGGATATTGGTATCACCAGATACTAAAGCCTAGATACTGGGATCAGAACATAAGAACCTGGATCACCCATCCTGAATCATGATATATGTATTCATGAAGGAAAGATTTTGCACCATCACTCTATCCAATATGGTGCAGCCCCACTAGCAATGCTCTAGAACAAATTGAAACCTTATTTCATGAACTGAAACATATCTTCTCCTTAGTAAATCATGCAGACTGTGTAATTAAGAAGGGGACTATAACACAGTACTTAACTGATTGATGATACTCTCACATTTTACCAGCTCTAAAACTCTTTTTTCCTGGGTTAGACTCTACCTGACAGAGGCCAATTGTCCTAAACATTTAATGTATTTTAACAATAACTGAATAATTCTAGGATTACAAAAGGGACATACCTAAAACCAGAGTGGAATGCTGAGAATCATAGACCTCCAGGGGCCCTTTAGGACACAGTACCTCTGGGCTGTTGATAATCCTGCCCTGGGTCATAGTGTGTGAGCATGTGTGTTAGTGTATTTAAGTGTGTCTCTGTGTGTCAGTGTGACTTACTGCAGAGGGGGAGTTGACCACAGCAAGATTGTAACCATAAAGCATGGAGCTTCCAAAGGATGTAAGGAAGGCTACCGCCAACAAAGAGCCAGTCAGTTGCTGCAGGCAGAGGGAGAGAGAGACATGTGTGTTACCAAAAGCAGAATACAAAATAAATACAGGATTCATTCACAGTCTTGGAAATTGACAAATGGGGTTACTGGTTGCAAATGTCCTTCAGAGGATGTATTCAGTGGTGAATATATGGCTGGTATTTCTTCATTGTAGATAGACAGATAGGTACACAGGTAGTTAGATACTTTATTTATCTCCAAGAGAGACCCACACCGAACACACAGAGCTGCTAGAGAGACTGCCACTGGTGTTGGGCCATAGAGGGCATATGCTCAGCTGCATTTGTCAGTTTCAATACGCACTGTTTGACTGGTAACCTTATGATGTGTTTTCCAGCTGATGTTTTCAAAATGGACTGCACCACAGTAGCCAAGAAATAAACAAATGTGTTTTTTTAAGTAATCAGGAGAGTAGCACCAAATGCTGGCCCCTGTGCACTCTCAATGTCAGTGGGCCCCTATTCATGCCAGAAAATCAGGATTTTCATGGGCCCCTCTCCCTACTCAGGCCCTGGGTAGTCAGGTCCACTTTTCCCCCCACTACCACACCCATGTAAGTCAATCAATCAATCAATCAATCAAATTTTATTTATATAGCGCCAATTCACAACAGTCGTTATCCCAAGGTGCTTTCCAAAGAAAAAGAGCAGGTCTAGACTACGCTCATGTAAGTAATTGTCAGCAGATCTGTTGGACAACATTGATGAACATGAAGCACTTATTAGACTTCGTAATTGTTTTTAATAAAGAACTAAAAATACCTACAATAAAGAGAGGACCAGGAACACAAGATGTCTGATATAAACCATTTAAGGTCTTGTCTCATTTGCATGCCATGATAATCTGTTTCTAACAAGGTAAACAATAACACTTAAACAGACAGAGATCTTAGCGTCTTACAACCTTGCTGTTACTTCTAAGGAAGACCAATAAAAAGCAACTTCCTCCAGTTTGAGTAACTGTCATAGAGCCTGTACCAAAGAGAGTGACTGTCTGTGTAGCAAAGATGAAGGTCAACTGCTTTCACCCCTCTGCCTTCACTGAGGTGCAACAAACAGAAGATGAGAAACCTTCACCTCTGAGGGTGGTGAAAGTAGAAGTTTTACGTGTAAAATCGCAGGTGTCTGATGACCAATGAAATAACTGAAAATTTATTGTTGATGACCATTGTCCGATGGAAGCATGTATGTACAATGTTAGAAAGGCACAATGTAAGAAGGTGTTTAAATAGAGGAAACGCCGTAGCTTCCCCAGGATTCTCGCTTTGACTGTTTTTGAAGACTGTTGTTGTGAAACTCTCCTTCTTGCAAGAATAAATTGACAGAGAAAGACAAGTTTTTGGCTTTAAGTTACTTTTTCTTTCAAGAAACAAAAAATTTCCAAAACACACCATAATTAGAACATTACACATGTCCGTCATTAAAAAAGATTTTATCCATCCAACCAAATAACTTAAATACTGCGTATAAACTATATTTGATTTACATGAGTTCAAAGATATGAGGTAGGATTCATCCCACTGGTAAACAATTGTTATGAATAGTATTTCAGGTACCAGTATATTCGTTTTTTTTTACAATAAATCTGGAGAGGGATGTGGCACACACTCTTCATGACTGGCAGCAGATAAATGTCCTGTAATATAAAACAGGTCCCTTTGTTTTCCACCAACAGTGACGAATGAATGTTCAAAGAGTTGTGGAGTTAGTGACACCAGCCCAGTTTGAACAGGCACTTAGATTAATGTAGTTAAAGCAGCTGTTACCTCAGGCGCCGCCAAACTACGACTACCACCAATTTTGTCGGTCGTCAGTAGCACGACGTGAAACTGTCACACTGAATCGAAGTCATATCCCCGGTGTTCCCTGCGTCTAACCTCTCTGTTGCGCTACAATCACTTTCACTGAGGTCGTGCGTACAGGAAGGGTGTTATTGGTCAAGTAACCTAAAGCCGTGATTTGTAGTTTAACTGATTGTAGGTTAACTGCAAACAACGCCGTCCCTGTGCAGAAAAGGCGTAGGTCTTAAAAATCCATCTGAAGTCTTGTGTCAGATTTGTGTCAGTGGAGGCAAACGGTCCTAGATTTCTGCTCCTTAGAAGTGGAGCTATGAGCGGAGACGAGTAACCGGTAGCAGCGGTACTTACCGGAGTAGGAGGCCTCTCTTGTTCTGCTGCAGTGTCATGGTCGGTGTTTTTCTGAGCCATAATAACTTTTCAAATAGCTTGAGAAGCGTGTGCCGGCTCATTAATATAAATTTCTGCCCCTAAAAAGTACAAAGTAAAGGACGAAGCAAAACGGAAAGCAGCGACAAACGAACTAACTTCACCCAGAGTCTGCAGGAGACTCCTTCCCGTCCTGCAGAGTTCCGCTCCACATGTTACTGAGTAACCCCATATGTTACTCAGTAACATACTGTATTTCATTTCACTGGGCTGAACCAGTCAGGAGCCCGTATCTAAAAATATCTAGCCATGTAGGATGTAGCTGCCACGAGTTTCAGAGTCCTCCAACTGATTTCATACAAGTAAAACAACATGCAGAATTCCCATGTCAATGCATACACAGAGAAAAATGTGCATAAAAGCAGCATTATCCGCACTAGGGTGGGAGAGAGATTTTTTTTCCTATTTGTCTAAGTTTGGGTGCCTCTTATTTTTGTGAAAAATTCTCTTGGAAGTTGTCTGCCCAGCCCTGCTCATCAGCACACAGTTTTTATTGGCTTACTTTGTCATCAGTGAGGTAGTTTGTTTCCAAGTAATGAGATGGATTTTAACAAATAAATCATGCTTATGTTGTAATGTGATATTGCAGCTGTTGGTAATGTATTTGAATTTTTTTTTAATCCTTATTTTGAGTTTTGTATACATTTCCACATACTGCAACTTATATAAATGATCTATCTGATCAGTTTGGCTTTACAGTGGGTACAAAAGTGCCTTCAAAGTTTTCCCAGTTGCAGTAGGGGAGACCAGGGCTTGCTGTCACACGGGTAAGTTGTCACATTGCAATTATCTTTGCCACCAGAGGCCACAACTAAAAAGGGGAATACTAGTTTTATTCCTTTACATGGTCAGGGGTCGTGCCCTATCTGAGAAGAGGAGAGCGCATAGTGAGCTGAGATGAGGGCCAATAACCATTTCGCACAACCCAAAGTAAAAAAAATTAACTTACTTTATTTTGAAATAAGCTTTTTCCAGATAAAAACCCTAGCAGTGATATATGTGGACTTGTAAGAGGAGAGATTGAGGGATCCTGTCATACCTCAGTCATTGTTCTGTTTTAAGCTAACTTTAAACTAGAGCTAGAATTAGCAAATATGGTAGTTTGGGGCAACCTGTCTCAGTCATTTTGGGGTTAGTTGTCACATGTTTAAAAGAAATTAAAATTAACGTAGAGAGTCTGCAGTTGCAGGAGAGGAGAAAGCAAGAAGACATGGTCAGGAATTACAAAAGAAATTCCTAGAACATGGCAGTGCAGCGCCTAACGTGATGCTGAGGGCGTCAGGCAAGTGACCCTAGCTAATAAATCAATCTGGAGTACAATAAAGGACTTTAATGTCAACTACCATACCTTAGCTTGGTATTGCAAAACATTCACCCCAACCGAAATACAGTGTCAGACAGCTCTCTAAACTCCAGAGCATGTTGTTAGTTTATGTTAACAATTGTTCAGTGGCTATGTGTAACGACTAGTTCAATGATAAATATTTTCTGTGCCTGACTTTGATGCTTGCTTTCATGTCCAAAAAACGAGAACAATAATTTTGTCCTTGTTTTATTAGCTGCAAAATCCACTGTGACAACTTACCCCATGGTGGGACAACATGTCACATGTTTACACTGTGTCACTGTTCACATGGGTTTCTGTGCAGTGTCATCACAGGTTTGCATTCGCAGCCAGGGGGCAGAAAGCGGGACATTTCTTACTTGTTACTAACGGAGTCAAAACTGTTTAACATCCCAAGGGGATCTCATCCTTTTGCCAAGAAAGGAAGATTGTGGCTCCAGGCCATTAAAAAAACAGATTATGGTCCTGAAGGCCATAAATGCAGCAGCAGTCTGTGCAGTGTACAGTGTAGATCCATGTGCACGTAGACCCAGGCATCATAAGGTTATACTCCCTGTCTCTGGCTGGGCAGGACACCTGCTCTCAAAGCGCAAAACCCTGAACTTGTGTCATAACATTTTAAGTTTTGGACATGGCCACAAAGTACACAATTGTACAAGTCCAAAGATTTGTATCCACGCAACGCAAACTGTCCTTTGTGTACACACTATATATATATATATATATATATATATATATATACATATATATATATATACAAGTTTTCTACTGTCCACTTAAACTCTCTGTGCAAACATTACATCATTTGTTGGATATTCCCAGTTAATAATTATCACTTTGAACACATTGAAGTACCATGTAAGATTACTCAGATGTGAGTTTAGGACTTCGACAAATTGTAGTTCCTTCCTCATTTTGAAATGATTTAACTATTTTCCATTTCACAAACTAACTAACTACAAAATAGACACTTTTCTGAAAACTTCATGATTCACAAGTCATCTCAAAATGTAAAATCATGTCTCATAAGCAACAAATGGTATTCTTTGTCTTGCTTTTATAATATTGAAAATCGACTGCTCTGCACCAGAGTTCTTCATGTTAGTAACAATGTTCAGCAGAAATGTAAGTAGGCTGTGCCTCATTACTGTAAGCAGAGCTAATATGAGGGTGAGGTCAGGGTGGAGTTTTAAGCCTGTCTGGTATTTCAGAAGGAAAGTTGAAGAGCTCTGCATTGATGTGCAACTTTCAGTTTTTTCATGTGAACAGAGGGAAACTGGGACAGGTCACCAGGTCACCTAGGCTTCACCATGATTTCATTACCCTCAGGATTTCAGTGGCTTCCAGGATTTGTGTGACAGTCAGTGACTTTTTGGTCAGGTATCAACCCAACCTCTTATATGATGATAATGATGACAATTAGTGGAACCACCAACTTTTTGAGGCTTCCATAGCTGCATAAAGATAAGGACTTCCAGAAGACATTTTCAAGTACACTGTATTGTTAAGACTTTAACTTTCTTAACTTATTTAATAAAAGCTACATTTTCCACAAAAAAACTGCAGTACAATCTGAAATTGCATAATTTTTCTTGTCTCCTCACACGGGTTAGTTTCTGGCTGCAGATAAACTAAGACCAAAAGAACACATGTAGATAAAACAGCCTCAACTCCAAACGGGAATGAGAACATTTCCTTAGTGTTGTGACAGCTCTCACAAAAATTAACTCGCTCATGTTTGAAGATCATTTTTAGTTCATAATCCAACAAATGAACTGGTTCACGTTCATTTTTTAGTTAAAAGTTGTCTTTTTCAGTAGAGCCATCTGTGCTTTAATCCCTATCCCTCAAGCTAATCCCCAAAATAAATGAATCACAGTTTGCTATTTTATCACCACAGATCTGTTCAGAACTCCTGCTTTGTACTGTCAGCAGGATTAGCCATGCTGAATGCATGGAAAGTGCTGTAGATCTGACTTCTGCTGCTGTAAAACACAATGCTCAGCATCTCTCAGCACCTCCCCTTACCTCTCTGCATCTTTCCACACCTCTCTGAATGTAAGCAGCCATTCACTGCTCCAAGAGTGAACTACGCTCACGTTCCCATTCTCGAGTTATAAACTGAACCATTCATGAAAATATGATTGTTCAATGAATGCATTTATTTTCACTCATTCACACAACACTGTCCCCCTATTCCGTGTAGATCAGTTTTTTTAAGTATTTGAACTTAAACTCAAGTTGGCCGAATGAATAATCCAAGTTTGTCCTGAAGATTGTGTTGACCAAAGGTCAGGGGTAGAAAGCCTTGATAGTGCATCACAAAGGACCATGAGTTTGTGTATATTAACATGTATCAAATCAATCCTAACAGTATCCATAAAGTGTTTCAATCCAAATCCAAAAGGTTAGCCTCCTGACAACCCCGGAGTCATCCTGGGGTCAGGAACATCAGAGTCAGGAGGAAACATCATCTGCAAACCATGATGGTCTGCACAACATCTCCATGTCATCCATCTGAAGGTTATCAGGATTCCATCCCAGAACAAAGTTCTGAGCTGACCAGCACACGGATGTTACTGCTTATAATGGCGTGCCACCAGCGTGGCTAAATAAAGCGCTGAAAGGCTGCCTCTGTTGTGGAAGTCACATGAGTTTTTGAACCGTTCATCCACCCAGTCCTCCTCCCTCAAAGGCTCTGCTGTCATGGTACATCCGCTTGCTCTTTGCAGATATGAGTTCAGATCCAATGCCCAAATGTCTTTGAGATGCCACACTGAGCAGCTGAGGAACTAACCGGCAAAATAAAGGTCTGAGAGGATAAATGATCAAATATCTCTGAAAAGGTCTGCTTGTGAACTGGTCATTGAACTCTGAAGGCTTTTTTTCAATAAGCATGCTTCAAGACTCTGTATTCTTAAGGTATCTGCTCTTGCAGATGCTATCTTTAGTCATCCAGTAGCATAACTGCTTAAAGGCCGCCTCCATGGGGATCTTGCTGCTACACATTATCCCAGTCTATCACTTACCAGTGTCCTGCAGGCATTCCCATGAGGCAGTGTACAGTACAACAGTACATGAGGTTGATGCAGACAGAGAACTTTACACACTAACAACATAAAAGTTTATCTGAGGACAAGAGAGTATGATGGTTTTCTCTCCTGCAAACAAGTGTTTTCCTGTCTGGACAAAAGCAGCCTCACAGAGGGGAGGTTCAATCAAACAAAGGTATATACCGTAGGAAAATTCAGACTTCCCATTGTCACTCTGCAGAAATCCCAATTTATCCTAATTAATTGCACATCCTTGCTGATCATCTGGCCTCTGAAGTCTCTTAAGTCTGACATACTCTCTGTTTTAACACCAGCACACACACACACACACACACACACACACACACACACACACACACACACACACACACACACACACACACACACACACACACACACCGTTTTATCTTCAAAAGGAGCCAGATTGAGCCTGAACTTTTCAACGCAAGGATGATGTGAAGGAGTCTAAAGTAGATTAGAAACCCCTCAGATGGTTTAAAGGTAGACTTAGTGATGTTTCAATTTTTCTCTTACTTAATTAAAATATAAATCACTTACAATATTTATGAGAATAGCAAACAACAGAATAAACTGAAAAGTTGGTAAACTGCTGGATTGTTAGACAGATATTTATGAATACTCAGGCTTTAGTTAAACTGATTTTGCCATGTATTTTGACACACTGAGAATAGTATTAACACTTTGAAAGAGAATCATTGGAGAATGTAGTTTTCTGAGTCAATCAAATTAGCAGTTATATTAATGATCCACTTCAAATTTCTCAAAGTGTCTTATCCAGTACAGCCACTGATCCACTGTGTTCAAAGAACAGGGCTACCAGTTTCAAAGTTGGCAGTAAACGCTATTAGGTGCTTGGAATCCATGTCTAAAGTAATAGGGGATCAGTCCTCTGAGGGTCCTGGCTCTGGATCTAACATCGCTCATGCAGCTTGTCTGAACTTACCGATGTGATTCTCCTGGACGTTGGAATTAAAACCTCCTCAGCCATTGAAGAAATCTGTAACCTGGTCAAAAACAGCAACAAGCAGAAGGGTTTCTCTCTAAACTGCACAGGATGGCATGGCTGTAGTAGCAGGCGTAGTCACACGGGGTCCAGGGAACTACAGGTAGCAGTAGTCGGGTCAGCTCATGTGCAGCGTGTCAGGCCTCTTGTCCAGCAGCAGTCCACAAGCTCCTGATAACAAGCCCACACTGTGTCATCACATGACAGAGAGCAGCGTGACGGAGTGAGAGGAAAGCCTGCTGGAAGCAATTAGCTCTAAGTGAATTTCCAAAGAGAGGGATGGAGGAAAGGAAGGAGGAAACCACAGGAGAGGAGAGGAGAGGAGGGGAGAGGAGAGGAGAAGAGAGAAAAGATGAAGGTCAAAAAAGGACTAAAGAGAAGGACAGAGAAATACTGGAGAAGTCTTACACAGGGAGAGAGGTCGAGCATAAAGCTAAAGCAAGGAGCGGTCAAGAGAAACACAAGGAAGTTAAACAGAGGAAAGACAAGCAAATGAGAGACGAGGTGTGAGGACACAAGGATAACTAAGAGAGGTTGAATTAGTAAAGGAAAAAAAACAAAAGTGTGGGGGTGAGGAGGACAGAGCAGAGGTAGAGAAATGGGCAGAAAATTCAAGGAAACAGAGGAATCATATGTAAAGAGGATTAGACCAGTGGAGTTCAGGGTAACTGAGACAATCATGTAAAACCAGTGCTCACATGAAAATAAAGAAACTTTTTTAAAAAAGCATCAAAGAGGTGTTAAATGTTGAAAACTGTCACAGATATATGTGCTTTATGATCTTGGCATTTGTGGGAACAGTTTAGTGGCTATTTTCACAGGAGTAAAATTTCACCAAACTTCATGTAAACCTCCTGTAGAGAGTGTAGTTTAGCTTACAGACGCTCAAAAATTTAATCATGCTCATGTGCTCATAACTTCTTTTTTTTCAGTTGACAGAGGCAGAGTAGTGTTTACTGTGCCTGAACTTTTGGGAACAATCACCCGCCCAGCATTACACCCTTGATAATCCTTTGACTTTAGCTCTGTGGCCGCTGATGAAAGGATGCTTTTGTTCTGGAAATCCTGCCCTTTGGCTCCTACATTCTCTCTATTAGCCTTCAATTCATCACACTTAATTCAGGTATTATTACAGAACTAAACATTTGTGAAATTCACCAGCTGGCTTGAGAGCTTCAATACTGTAAGTCACGAGTGGACACGAGTAGTGAACAAAAGCCCATGTGACCAACAGGGATACCAAAAACATTTCCCACTACTTTCTAATCTTTTCACAGTAACAGAGAGTGAGAAACAGAGCAGGACTGAAACTGAGGCTCATGTCCACTATATAGGTTTGAGCTTAGTTAGTCAAAACACTCAGAGACAGATGAACGGTTTAGATTAAACATGAATAATGAAGCAGAGGAAAGCAACTCACTTACAGAAGATGGTTTGAATACATGTGTGCTTATTAGAGAACCAAAGGCAGGTTTCAGTGTTTCCTGATCACTCACCACTGAGCAGGACCAACAGGCCAAGACCATGAACTCTTAAGCGCTCAGTCTTGCTCCACGGTGCTTTAATCACACAAAGTAATCACATCAAAGTGATCCAGAGGTTCGGCTAAGCAGAATTTCAGCAGTTTATGAAAGAGACGACAAACACACAAAACCGACTGATTATGATAGTAACAACACAATTATACACCAGCCAAATAAACAGAGCTATGCCAGTGTGAGTCACTTGAACATGGCTCAGCTTATAAGGTTACTAAGTCACTTTCTGATCCTTATGAAAGGCTGTCCGTCCAACATATAATTTTTAAACATTTGCAAGTGGATTTTACCTTAAAGGTTGGTGCCAGCTGGTTATTATGACACCTGTTTGATTAAGATCTATCTATCTATCTATCTATCTATCTATCTATCTATCTATCTATCTATCTATCTATCTATCTATCTATCTATAAATAAATAAATATATAAAATTTCTGTTCAAAGAGACACCTGAGCTATGCAATCTTCGTACACCCATAGGCTGTATCAAATGTCAATCAAAGAAAACATGAACCCCCTTAAAAATGAAGCTGCACAGAAAAAAGAGGACTTGAACACAAACCAGTTTTACAATAACTACATGTCAACATTGCAAGCAAGGGGGAGAAAAATTAATATTCTATGTAATTAATTTCTAAAGTTTGTCCACAGCTCCATAGGGATTGCTGGAAGAGGTGGGATTTATGACCTGTACTGCAGCCCATCACCAGAGGGTGCTGTTCTCCCGGTCGCTTCTCCCAGCGAGAAGGCAGACAGCGTCCATTCTACATACCAGGGTTGTCAAACTCAGAAGCACAGTGGGCCAAAATTCCCAAACTGGTCCAAGCGGAGGGCCGTACTGGTTGTTTATTGAAAACTTGCAAATGACCTTGTGGCATGAATTGAATCTGAAATTAACAAAGCTTCCAAACCATATAACAACATTGATCATAAATTATAAAAATCAGGTGTATTCACTTTTTATCTGGAGCTTTCCATAGTAATTTCTAATAAGAAAAACATTTCCCACTGGCAACAATGGGCAGAAAAATAATTAAAAGAAAAATGAAGTGTCTGTAGCAGCAAGAAAGAAATTGCAAAAATGAAGGATGCATTAAAGCGCAGTTTGCCCCTCTGTGATGCATAGTGGTCGATACTTGAACCTGGAAATGACAGAGCTTATAAGAAAGTTTGTACCTAAAAACAACAACATTAAACATTAAACTTAAGAAAAAACTGTTGCATTTTTTTTCTAAAGCTCTTTCTGCAGCTATTCTGGAATAGTTTTTAACTGTCAACATTTTTCTACAGGCCAACAACATCCTGTGAGGGAGCTGGAAAACCCTCCCCTCACTGAGGTGAAGTCTGTACAATATCTGACTATTCATGGACATGGTTTTTGTTTATTTTATTTTTCTAAACACTGCTAACCTCTCATCTTTTCGAGGTCACCATCTTGTGGGGGCGTGTCCGCATGGAGTGCACACATGGGGATGCAGCAAACAGGTCCCAGCGGTAGCAAATCAGCTTGTTAGGCTGGGTTAGTGAGCAGAGAAAGGGGGAGGGGTAGAGTTATTTAGTGGGATTTAGCTTTAGTTTGGTCTGTTTTGGGTTATTTAGTTATTTTGGGTTAATTTATATTCATTTATGTTCTTCCTATTAAGTATTAGGGCTATTGTATATCCGGATTAAGTTGTTAGAGGTCAGATTTGCACATACCTATCACTAATCACTGTCATGCAGGTGAGAGAAAGAGGGAGGGGGGAGCAGGTGAGACAGCCCCACTCAGCTTAAAAGTGAACACACCTGTGTGAGTGGAGAGAGGTGTGGGTGGCTTTCTGCAGCCTGCTGCTCAAAGGATGATCATTGTTAAGACTGCTGTGTGTGATAACTTGGATTTATTAAAAAATATCAGAGCTCTGAAACCTGCTGTCTGACACCATCCTTTTTTCCTCATGCTGGAGATCTTCACTACCGCTTGGTTCCATTCCGTTTAGAGGTTTTATGACCATCAAAACCTTACACATCCCAAAAAATATTTCCTTGTAAGAGAATTCAAAATGTCCTGTTGCAGCCTTTTGCTGCCTTTTTTCATGTCTCGATGTTACCTGTCTTGGTGTTCTGTTTCATGTTGTCACATACAAATATTTCTCCCTTTTCTTTCACTCACTTTGCGAATGATTTGTTCAAAAGAAAGAATCTTTTAAGTGAACATACTGAACCGAATCACTTCCTAGAGTGATTCATTCATTTCTCAGTTTAGTTGAGCTGTGAGCAGCTCAGCCTGCCATTGCATACAGTATTGCTGGGCAACCAGCCGGCAAGCTGCTGCAGGGAGGGAGGGAGGGACAGCATGCGCCAATGCCTGAATTCCTTGGTTAACGAATCACTCAGTGAATTACACTCTCCCAAATCATTTTTGTTTGAAGGATAGACTTTCATGGCGACTGTTGTTCCCCGTTTTTTTAATGAAGTTTCTAGGTGAACAAACTCAAAATGTCATGTAACAAGTAGACCTACTGTATAAATATATTCAAATTTATGTATCATCGACACCACAGAAAACTTCCTGATCTGGGGCCTGTTCTACGAAGCAGGATTACTGCTTAGCGAGGTAACTTCGAGGATAAGTTCGGGGTTTCCTGTTCTACGACGCGGGTTCACTTCTTAGCGAGGCGAGTCTCCATAGCAATATACGCTGAACGGCTAACCTGCTCCGGGGCAGGTTAAGTTCCAGATTGAACTCAAAGAGTATAAAAACCCCGCCCACTGACCAAGCTCTCTCGAAAAACGGCTTGTCCGTTCTCGGAGGATCCTGTAGACCTCGGTGCTCGCATTGTCCGAGGAGGAGCACTCCGGCTCGCGAGAGTTTACAGGGAGAGTTTTCTCCGGATGACCACCTTTATGAAAGGCTCATATGGCCGACATATTACACAAAACATGTAAACACGATAGGAATGAACAAATGAATGATTCATCTTGGGAATGAATGGGCATGGGCTGCGTGATCACAGACAACATCTCGGTACTATTTATTAGCAGCGCATGCCCCTTATAATTACCACGTAAATACTGTTGTTCGGGACTGCTTACTTGTGCTTCCTACCTACTGTAATAACCGTTGTTCTAGCCCACATGCAACATTTTTGTTCTCATTCATGAAACGCTTAAATCAGGGACATTTTCGGGGACAGCTTTAGCCGGGGACAGATCATCCAATTCGGGGACTGTCACCTTAGTTAAAAGCGCATGTTGAACAGTGCTATTTCAGGGTGATAATGGCATCAAAGATTACTTTTCTGCCAGCATTCCCTCCGTGCTTTTGCAGCGGCGACGGTGTTGCTTTTGAGGTTTGTGATAGCTTTCAATTCTTCATACTTTCTCATGATCGTCTCCTGTTCCTCGTTTGTAAAGTCTGCGGTCCTTCACTCTCTGGCCTGCTCTGACGCTCCAGGCTGATCCATGTTCGCGATTGGTCAGATGCGGCGGGCTCCGCCTTATATGTGTGCACGCGCTCATAGCAGAGCTGGATCCACTTATGAGGTTGATAACCAGCGTCGTAAAACCGCTTAGCGAGACCGCTGGCTACCACGCTAAGTTGAGCGAGGTAGCTCCAAGGCTACCTCGCTAGGTTGAACCTGCTTCGTAGAACAGGCCCCTGCTCACCTGTTATTCACTTTGGGAAAACAAGTCAATTAAAAAGGGTAACTAAGTGTTATAACTCATTAAACAAGCTTTTGGCAAGTAAGGTCACTCTGAATGCTCTGCAGCTAATGATGCATGAGCATCCATATAATAATAATACATTTTTTAAACAGACCGAAACAAGTCAAGAAAAATCAGAAAAGATGGAGAGTAATTATCAAGAACAATTTCTATTGACATACTAAGGACAAAGTCTTAAACCTGCATATGACTGAGACACACGGCCAGTGAAAATCCATTAAACATCGGGGAAGACGTGACCTATGACCGAGTGACACTGCTGAGGTGGATCACCCCAAGAAAACATCTAAAATCACAAATCCACATAAAAATAAACTATTAAAAATGACAACAATGCCAACACAGCTGTTTAATAGGAGAAACTGAATCACTGACAGAAATAAAAGTTCTTTTTTAAAAAACAAATGAGTATTAACAATCAACTATTAACAACCCTTAGAGCTTATCTGTAGTCAATTTGTGGTCACTGTGTTGCTGTTTGACTTTAATACACCAGGTTAGTTTGTACAGGTGGAACACAAGGTTGTCAGGGTGTGTCATTTTAAAGGTTCATGCAGCCAGGTAAACAGTGCTGAAAGATAAAGTTTGTGTTTAGAGATGTGCAAAACTGTGATTTAGATCCCCCTTTGGGTGAGACCAATGGAGTCAAAGGGCTCTATTTTGTGCGCAGTCGTATTTTTGCCTGGCGAAGTCCGGCACACAGCCAGTGTGGTATGTTCGTAGACTGAGGTGCACCAAGGTCTGCCAAGCTGGGCGTGGTGGTGGGGGGGGTGTCAACAGAATCAGCTGGCGAAGTGACATTTTCGTGCTTGCCTGTCAGCGCAGGCGGAGCACAGCTGGTCTAGTGGTATTTTAGTAGGCCAGCGACAAAGTGCGCATACATCACGGATGCCTCACCGGCAGTTTTCCATGGTAAATAGCGAGTAAATAGTCACACATGATAAAGTTAACAAGATATTTAATACGTCTCCCCCCTTATTCTCCCTCTTCCTCACGCAGCTCGACCGAGCACGTCTCTGTGTCCTCTCCTAGTCCTGCTGCTGTGCTGGCAAGGCTGACCAGATGATATTTTATAGTGATCAGATGTTATTTACTTCGAAAATTTGAACACAAAAGTATAAGAAACTTTGATTCAAAATGACCCTTTTATCTAATGTCCTCACATCCTTAAATTTCTGTGAATATTCAATACAGACTTAGGCCCACATACGAGTATTATAATATTCAGTTGCGTGAGCCAAGTTTATTTTGTACGCTAACATCAATGAAAGAAAGAGCCAGGCCACAGAGCGCGATGCATCCTTTACACACAGGGGGTTCTGATTTTATTGGAATTTGTTTATGTTGTGATCTGTGCCCACAACCCACCTTTGTCATGTGGGGTTTAAATATATGCAACTTGATGTGAGTGTCTATTTGTGGAAAAGGGTGTTTGTCTTACCAGTGGGTACAACCTTATACACACCAAATCCCTCTTTGCTCATTTGAGAGTGTGGAGGACGCCCTGCACCACTTACTGTGACACTTGTTGAGGGGCTGCCTCCAGTCGCCATTGTGTGGCGTTGCTTTCTTCGGTCATCTCTTGATCTCGCCGATTACTTCACGAAATTTGCAAAATGCCTCGCCGGTAGCGGATTTAAAGGTGAGGAGAGGCGCTGATGTGATTGGAGAAAACAGGCCTCGGCTGTGTTAAATCCACTCTACTCCTTATCCCCTCCCTCTCTACGACTTACGCCGCTGGGAGGAGCTGAGTTAGGGAGGGGGGATACCTACGCCGGGCTGCGCTGCTCACCAAATTAACAAAGTGTGCTTGGGCACGCCTCATTGGTGCAGCGGATCTGACTTACGCACTGTATCCTTTTATATAGTGTCTTATTCTACGATTTTGTATTCTATCATTTTGTATTCTGATTCTGCCTTGGTTAGAAACCTTTGAGCCTGTTTCAAAAATGTAGAGTTAAAGTGGTTTTGATTTCACAAGCATATCAGTGGTTTTTCTCATTCCAAACAGGCACAATGACATTTTTCTGGTCAGATTGTTTCAGCTTGTTTCTTGTTTCTGAACTCAAGCCTGAATTCTTGTTTGTTGGATATCTTTTCCAGGATTCCCACCATTCAGCTCCTGCTGAGAAGCAGTCCAAGAAGAGGAAGAGGACCTCTGAAGTCCATGCTTCTAATTCTTCAGCAGAGCTGACCTGTGATCCTGCTCCTCAGCACTCTGACCTCCATGATGCTGTTCCTCATTTGGTCCAGGGGCCTCAGCTCAGTATTCCACCTTCCGAGCTGCCTCAAGTCTCCACTGTGGTCCCCAGTTTTCAGCCCTCCACAGCTCCTCCGCTGGATGACGGCCCACTGATGATCCACCATCTGTCAGCGGAAGAGTACCAGCAGCTCTACCACATCGTGGTAGATGACATGCTTTAGTATGTATGAAACAAAAATAACTTACCACTATCACAGACCCTTATGAGTAACATTTCAACTGACATCATGATTCAACCATCTTCCTCTCTCATCCACAGGTACACTGACCGTCGTCAGCATTCCTACAGCCTTGCTCTGGGACGACGTGTAAAACACGAGCTGTGGGAAAGATCTGATCATCCATAGTTCACTGAAACTATGGATGAGAGCATGTGGACATTAGTTACAGGGTTAGAGTTTCTCCACCTCTCTACAATGTGGACATGTCCTTGGAACCACAGCAGGAGACCCCATCCAGAAAAAGAGCAAAGAAATGAAATGAAAAGAGAGTTTTTGCTCTGTACTTGTAAATATTGTGGTTTTAACTCTTAGTTAAAACTAGTTAGTAGTTTAAGTTACAGTATATCACAAAAGTGAGTACACCCTTTAGATTTTTGCAAATATTCTGTTATATCCTTTCAGGGGATAACACTATCTTAATGAAACTTTGAAATAATGCAAAGTAGTCAGTGTGCTGCTTGAATAACAGTATAGATTTATTGTCAATTGAAAATTACTCTGTACACAGCTGTTAACGTCTAAACAGCTGGCAACAAAAATGAGTACACCCTGTAGTGAACATGTCTAAATTGTGCCCAAAGTGTCAATATTTTGTGTGACCACCATTGTTATCTAGCACTGCTTTAACCCTCCTGGGCATGGAATTCACCAGAGCTGCACAGGTTGCTTCTGGAATCTTCTTCCACTCCTCCATGACGACATCACGGAGCTCATGGATGTTGGACACCTTGCACTCCTCCACCTGCCTCTTGAGGATGCCCCACATGTGCTCAATTGGGTTTAGGTCTGGAGACATACTCGGCCAGTCCATCACTTTAACCTTCAGCTTCTTCAGCAAGGCTGTTGTCATCTTGGAGGTGTGTTTAGGGTCATTATCATGTTGGAAAACCGCCCTACGGCCCAGTTTCCGGAGAGAAGGGATCATGCTCTTCTGCAGGATGTCACAGTATATAGTGGAATTCATGTGTCCCTCAATGAACTGCAGCTCCCCAGTGCCGGCTGCACTCATGCAGCCCCAGACCATGATGCTGCCACCACCATGCTTGACTGTAGGCAAAACACATTTGTCTTGGTACTCCTCACCAGGGTGCCGCCACACACGCCGGACACCATCTGATCCAAACAGGTTTATTTTGGTCTCATCAGACCACAGGACATGGTTCCAGTAACTCATGTTCTTCGATTCATTGTCTTTAGCAAACTGTTTGCGGGCTTTCTTATGCAGCGGTTTCAGAAGAGGCTTCTGTCAGGGGTGACGGCCATACAAACCAATTTGATGCAGTGTGCGGCGTATGGTCTGGGCACTGACAGGCTGACATCCCACTTCTGCAACCTCTGCAGCAATGCTGGAAGCACTCACACGTCTATTTTTGGAAACCAACCTCTGGATATGACGCTGAGCACGTGGACTCAACTTCTTAGGTCGACCCTGGCGAGGCCTGTTGCGAGTGGAACCTGTCCTGGAAAACCGCTGTATGATCTTAGCCACTGTGCTGCAACTCATTTTCAGGATGTTGGCAATCTTCTTATAGCCAAGGCCATCTTTGTGAAGCGCAATAATCCTTTTTTTTCAGCTGCTCAGAGAGTTCCTTGCCATGAGGTGCCATGTTGTCCAGCGTTCAGAGAGAATTGTGCCCAAAACACCAAATTTAACAGCCTTGCTTATCATTTACACCTGAATCCTTTTAACACTAACGAGTCACATGACACCAGGGCGGGAAAACAACATCATTGGGCACAATTAGGACATGTTCACTGCGGGGTGTACTCACTTTTTTTGCCAGCTGTTTAGACATTAACAGCTGTGTACTGAGTAATTTTCAAAGGACAATAAATCTATACTGTTATTCAAGCAGCACACTGACTACTTTAAGTTATATCAAAGTTTCAGTAGGATAATGTTATCCCCTGAAAGGATATAACATAATATTCTCAAAAATCTAAAGGGTGTACTCACTTTTGTGATATACTGTAAGATAGAAATAATAGTAGTTGTAGTATAAGGGGAAAATTCCAGCAAGCTTTTAACTGCACCACCTGCCTCTCTGCAAACAACCTCAAATAACTCAGCTGCCATCTAACTTTAGCCTCCTCTGAACTCCTGCCTTGAACTCAAACATGTTACCCATAACCAAAGGGCTGTTAAGAAAAGTGTTGAGCTCATTGGAGAAAACAAAAAACAAAACCAAACAAAAAAAAAAAATAGAGGAAGATATTTCTGATCAATGAATGGACTTTGTGTTCATCATAGCAAATAGATATTGAAAGAAGATGTGCAGAAATTATCTTTGGCTGCAGCCAGAGCTAAAACAGTCATTTCCATAGGTAATTGATGACTGTCATCCTCTCATTGCCACAAGACACTCAGGTCATGTGCCAGAGTTGTGGCCTTAGCTGTCCTCTCTTCAAACCTCACCATTCCTCTTTCCATGAGTTTAACCAGGTTAACCATTAGAGGTGGGCGCATTCATTTAAAACCGTCGTGCCTCTTATTAAGCTGACATTAACAAACCACACCCTCTCATCTCTGAATCACTCATTTCAGCCTGTATCAATCTGTCAGTTAATTTTTCATGTGAATGGTGACAAAATCAAGAAACCTTCTGTGCACAATATGTGGGCAGCTTCGGCAGCTATAACTGCAGGCAGACAACAACAGTACTAAACATGCAGACAAACACAAACCCCTCAACAAGACATCACTGCCACACATGATGCCTCAAACTCCCTCTCTAATGTCAGTGATGAGCTGTCGCATCAATGAAAAAAAAAGAAACACACACACACACAGAGATAGAGAGAGAGAGAGTGAGAGAGAGATAGTGAGAGAGAGAGAGAGAGAGAGAGAGAGAGAGAGAGAGAGAGAGAGAGAGAGAGAGAGAGGAAATTATAAAAAAAATAGAAACTCACTTTGTTTTCCTTCAAATGTCTTTATTTTCTGTGACAGACACAGTGTTCACACAGAAAATCTGCATGGATCTGTGATTATGGCTCCACTGTTAAGGAACCTTCCGCTTGGGTACTGACCATGTGTAAAGCTCGAAGTAGCTTTTCACTGAACCTGTGTTTCTGAGAAAATGTGGCCAACAAAATCAAATGGTGCATGAACATCAAATGTTCTGTCTAGGTTACACCTGGTTTGGGTCTTGTGTTGCTTTGTGCACAGACCTGCTTTTGGCAGGATAATGTGTAGGTAGACATGGCAGTTCAATCTCCAAACTTCAACCCTGCCTCCATTTCAGAGTGGTTTGGTGATCATGTTGAATATGTTGTCCAGATCTTACTTAAAATCTGTAATTTTTTCATGTTTTTCTCAATCACAGTTTTTCACTGTATGGGCTCTATTTTCGTGCCTCGCCCGGAGACGTGCCGCAGGCGCGGCGTAAGTCAGGTCCGCCGCGCCGACAAGGCGTTCCCAAGCACAATTTGGTATTTTGGTGAGTTGCGCAACCCGGCATAAGTATCCCCTCTCCCAAACTCAGCTCCTCCCAGCGGCGTAAGTCCTAGCGAGGTAGGAGAGAGGGCGTGGAAAGGGTTTAACACAGCCGAGACCTGTTTTCACCAATCACATAAGCTCCTCTCCTTGCCTTAAAATCCGCCTTTGAGGCAGCTCCTCAACAAGTGTCACTGTAAGCGCTGCATTGGGCGTCCTCCACACTCTCTCATATAAGCACAGATGGATTTGGTGTGTGTAATGTTGGACCCACTGGTAAGACAAACACCCTTTTCCACAAATAAAGACACTCACATAAAATTGCATATATTCAAACCTCACGTGACAAAGGTGGGTTGAGCGCACAGATCACAACATTAACTCCAAAAATGGCATTAAAATTGGAACCATCTGTGCGTAAATGATGCATCGCGCTAAGTGGCCTGGCTCTTTCTTTCATAGATGTTGGCATATAAAATAAATTTTGCTCACAAAACTGAATATTATAATATCCGTATGTCGGCTTAAAGTAGATAACGCATCTGAGCACTGAAACAAATAATCTGTTCAGCTGCTGCTGCAGCAGGACGGAGAGAGGACACGGAGACGTGTCCAGGTCGAGCTGTGCGAGAAATAAGAGGAAGAAGAAGAAAGAAAGGAGGGAGACGAATTACATATCTTGTTAACTTCATCATGTGTGTCTATTTATTAGATAAACTAGATAAATTTACTCTAAACCCCCACAAATTCCACCCTCCACAGCTAGGTTGTTGTTCCACTAAACTCTGGGTTCTTGATTTTCCCCCGGATTGTGTCTTTGGTATTGGACAAACCCCCCGGGAGTCGTCTGTGTGGTGCCTAGCAAGCCTGGTGCCCCTTCAGCTGGGACGGCGGCGCTGACTCGGTGCTAGACTCCAGCTAGCCCCTGTTATATCGACCTCTCGCCGTCTAGCCAATCTCCCCTCACTGTTTTTCACCGCAGTTCCATTCAAACCTCTCTACTGTCTGCCCCACCCTTCAACACTTTTGAATATCTGGTTTTTAATTGCAAACACATCCCATCGCATAACACCACATCTGCAACCATATCACTCATTTATCGCCCCCCCAAACCACATCCATCATTCCTCTCTGAAATTCATGACTTTTTCATCTCACTTTGCACCTCACACTCAAACATTCTGGTTCTGGGGGACTTCAACATTCACATGGACTCACTCTCCTGCAAACTGGCTGCTGAATTTGAACAGGTTCTGGACTGCCTCATTCTCCACCAATCCGTTGTTGGACTCATCCACACAAAGGGCCACACACTGGACCTGGTCATCACAGATTCCATCCACATCTCAGACCTTCACGTCCAGGACATTGGCATCTGAGACCATTATGCAGTCACCTTCAGGACCCCTCTACACTCCCCCCTCACCAAACCACAGTGCCTTATATCATTCAGAAATCTCAGGAACATTGACTCCACCTCCCTCAGTCAGCATCTCCAACTCCTCTC